GTAATGAAGCTTCAAATACATATTTTGATACAGAGTTGTGCAGAATTTTGTTCAAAAGAAACAAATCAATTAGATTAGACTGTTTTTATTTGTACATTTTTGTTTGTTCAAACTATGAACTTGATTCAGAATTAAACCCCTCATCCTTTTCAGCCCAGTTAAAAAATTTAGTAGAGTCGAAAGTACACTGCTACATACTGCTCTCAAATGTAGTGAAATAAAAGTAAAAATGATCCACTTATGTACTATAGTTAAGTGCAGATTTATTACGTTCCACCACTGGACGTGTTGTCTTACAAAGTATATGTATTTAATTAGAAGTGTGACCTCAAGACAGATCTCTCTCCTTCCTCCACTCTAGGGCCCGTGTTACTGCTGTGTTGGTGAGTGGTCATTAGTCTCTGTTTACGGTGAGAGAGCCCGGCCAGCTGGCATGTGACGTGTGATGTGGTGCACCCTGGCTTACCACTGCGAGACCCCCCAACGGCTGGTTGCTGAAGGCCCAGAGCCCCCTTCCCTGGGCGGGCTGTCGGGACCGCGGTGAGCCCCTTGGCAGATGGAGCCTCCAGTGCCTCCACGAGCAGAGGGGAGGTGGGATTGGCCCGGCCCATGGCGCAGATGCCAGCAGAAGCCCAGGAGCGGGGTGGAGTCACGCTGGGAGGGCATCAGAGCAGAACAGGTGTGATCGCAGCCTCCTCAGCTCTTCCTGTCCTCTCTCCTTCTCATTCACACACTCAAGAGGTGTTGGGGCACTGCTTCCATCAGGCCAGGCGTCTCGACTTGTAGTTCAGATGAAGACTTTGAGGGGCTGAAGTCAAGAGAGCATGTTTAGAGAGGCAAACTTTATGGTACAACTAAAGTAGGTAAATAAAAATTTACAAATATCTAGTTCAGGAAAGTTGTATAGGACAGAAATTAATATAGCTGAAGTAGTAAACACGAAACAGAATGGATGCTCTAATGGACTGTCAGCTATTGTAGTCTTACAATACCACAACTCTAGCCTATTATGTTTCCCCCAGAAATTGGAGCACATTTTGACCACAGTAGTCGTGGGCCTATGCAGTTGGATAGTGGTGTATATTTGTAGTATTAGCGAGAAAAGTGTTGTACCTACTTGAGAAATATGTTACAATAATGTCACTTTAAAACAGACTATCAGTCTTGAATCCCAAACATAACCACATTTCCAGACTGCACCATCCAGAGGGCAGTGCAAATACACTTGTGTCTTGTCCACCTCCAAAAACTCAGTTCAAAGTGGTATATTTGTGACCTGGGAGGGCACACAGTGGTGTTGTGTTGACTCAGTTGTTTTACGATAAACTTCTCTGCTGACCTGGCCTCTGCCATAGGGCCAGCACAACCACTTTCCCATCATCCCCTGCTTTATCACCAACAGCCACAAGACAAAGAGCTTAGCTGTGTACCTGGCCACAGCCTGCGCCCCTCTTGATGGAGTTTATGACAGGGGGGTGCGGGCTGGAGCCCAATAGACCACCTTGACCTGTCCCTGTTCAGAGGACCTTCCTGAACCTTGTCCCATTGCTCCCAGCCCCCAGCGCCCTGGCCACTCTAACCGCCTCTGAGTTATTATCATAATTTCTCACAGGGGCCTCTCCAACACAAGGAGCATCCGTGTTTTACAGAATGTTTTGTGTTTTATTGCCTTTAAGTCACTCATAGGCCAGCTGATCGGCCCTGCAATGATAAGAAAAGCAGTCAAGTGAAAAATGAAGGACCTCGCCAGCCGGACGGAGGTGAGGAAGGAAATAATAAAATACATGACAAATGTGAAGCAGGGCTGTATTTCATGTTCAAACCCTGGTCTCGCCTTCAAAAGCAGCCCGCACTATAAGAACATATGAGTATAATGAATTCAGCCAATTTCACCATTTCAAAAAAAGAGCATGAGCTTTTTCTGTCTGATGGTTTGTACTTTTAAAAAGCTGCCACCAGTGCCACCCGGTCCTCTCTCTCCCTCCTAGGGCCTTTGACAACATGACGGCCTTTAGACGCCCAGGGGCATTCCAAGCTGCTGCCAGCGCCGCCATTTCATGTCAGGGCCCACCTGGGGTAAACAAAAGAGGACTAAGAGCAGTGGAATATTAACTCAAAAGGAGAGCAGTGACAAACACTTTGCGGCCGTCAAACTTTCAGTCTTAAAAACAGCACTTTCATTGGCTCTTTACTGGAGTAATCCTCCCTCCAACATTGCACACTCTGATCCCCCGCAGGGTTTCAGAGGTGGACTATATCTAATGAAAAATAAAACAGCTGTTTAATCTATTGTTTTCAAAGCAAAATCCCCTTTTGATCAAAAATGATATTGATCTGACTCTCTTCGTTTTGTGGCAAGGATTTCTCCTTTAAACTTGAAATCTCATGGAGTCTTTGTGGCAAATCAATACTGCTTTTGAGGACCTTTTCAAAGCACTCCATTTGAATACGTCTCTATTTGCATGTATCAGAATTCAAATGGAGCTTGCATCAGTTCAGCTTAGGAGTAAAACATTCACATACATTCACATCTCTAAGGATTCTGAAGATGCCTTCATGGCCATGCCTTTTGGGACTGTTAATTAGTGTTTGGCTGCTTTATGGCACATGATTGATGAGCCCGGCCTGTAGTGGAATGAACTAGTCTTAATACTCCATAAGGTTTAGCGTATCTGTCCTCACCCCTCACTCAGGGGCCCGGCTCCTGCCCCGGCTATCTCCACATCTCCCATTTTCTTTAATTACACTTTGGCATATTGCTTTTGGGCCATATGGAAGCCAGATATTGAGACCAGATAAGATGTATAAACTTCTGTCAACACTACAGCATATTAACTAGAGCTGGAACCATATTATCTCTCCTGTATCCTTCCAATTAGTGTCCGATATCAGAATACATTAAGACAAGCCTGTCGATGAGGAGAAGGAAGAACATTACAGTAATGGTCCCTTTATCTGATTTTTATTAAAATAGTATTACATATCTCTATTTGTTTTTATGCCACTAGACGAAAAGTCATTTCCAGAAGATCCAATAATAGTTGTTGAATAACTTTCTGTGTGCATTCAGCCGTGTAGTGGTGTTATCCTCTCTAGTTGTAAGGTAGTACGGGGGCTTTTTAGTTTTACATTTATTTATTTTTTGTAAATTGACGTTAGCATGTTTACTACATCAAGAAAGTAATATGTAAACAACAACCATGGTTTAAAAAAATGGCTCAACATTAAAAAGGTCAACCCTATTACTTTTGAGGACAAAACAACACTCACACACATAGGGCATTTCACAAGTTTGAGAACCTCTGCTACACTGAGAATACTATCAGCTCCACTGGATTTTAAACATAGTGCCATCATTGCACATTATCAATGAAATATTGGAAAACAGATGCCTACATTGAAACTGGACCCTTTTTCCACTATAGCAATGGGTCTATTATTTTAATAGAAAATGTCAGGGGAAAATATAGAGGCTCTTAAAACCTTGTATGGCCTGTATTTGGATCAGATATCCCCAACATCAGCATGGCCTCAGACTGCTTCCCTCTCAGTGACTCCATGTTAGTGTGCTATGATAACCACTACTGTCAGACTATCTCTTCCTTTTGCCACTACACACTTAACAGTTCATTCCACGTGATTACATTCACAGCAGACACACCTCACACACAAGAGGTCACTGTAGCATCGAAGTAAACTCCTCTGTGTTGAGAATAAAGCAAGAGCAAAGAGATGAGGGAGTGGAGAAAGGTCACTTTGAAAAACTGGATGCAAACACATGCCAAACAGCGTCTCTGGACTGCACTCGCACACTCTAATCCCTTCTCTGATCCATAGATATTTGGGCCAATCATTGGGGCCTTCCTCAACCTGTGATCAGTGGGCCCTAATCTGAGTCCTCTGCCCAGCCACAGTGCACCTCAGACGGCCCGGGCCAGCTGCCAGCCGAGGAGTGGCAGGCGCACACTTCTCTGCAGAGACAGCTAGAGGTTGTCTCTACATGGATGGGCACTTCGCAGCTCGGCAGGGGCGGGAGGAAGGGGCAAAATAGCAGCTGCTCAGGGCATATGGGCAGAATTCATTAAGTCTGGCTAAATACGCCAATTGTGGAGGCGGTAAAAAATGTGTGTTTGCAGGTCTGACAGACAAACAACAGAGATGACTTTCTGGACAAAAGCCTGGACAGTGCACACATCTGAGCCGGACCATCCTGTTTTCTATCAGCGTGTCCCGGGATAGTAGGCCTGATCAAGTTGATTCAGTGCCTTACAGATGAAAAACCTGGATTATTTGTTAAAGGTGGTGATTAATTGTTGGATGCATAGATTGTGTGTCCTTGAAGACTTTGCTGTGCATCACACCAACTGTCATGAGACAGCCGGTGCCTCAGACATCAACCTAATCACTTTCTGTAAATATTACAACTGTTTCACTAATAGAGCTGCAATGACTTTGAGGAATACATCAATATTCCCACACATGAACCAAAGACAAACAGAGCAGCACAGTACACAAAGCATTTTGTTAACTATATTACATTCTCATTTCAAATCAGGGCGGAACATCTGTTTAGAGTGTGGCTTGTCGTGTTCTTCACTGCAACACACTCAAGTCAAATAGTTGGTTTACTACAATAAAAACATCGGCTTTGGTGTTGACTCACATATGCAGCTTTTATCCAGTGAAACTTTAATGTATGGTAATCCTCCAGGTGTCAATGAGAACTGTGTTCAATGCTTTTGAGATAATAGTGAAGACAGGGTTGTTCCTATCGAAGAGCTGGAAGATAAAGTCAATGCCACTGTCAATAACAATAAGGTTGTGGGCTTTAATGAAGAATGTTAATTTGAACACAATCAAGTGGATTTCAGCTTAGCTCATTATCAACCTTGGACTTGTAGGTTTAGCGATAATGCTGTTGTTGCAGAGGACATTTATATCAGTGAGTTCTGAAACAATACACACGAGTGTACACAAACAAAACAAATAGAAACAAGTCAAACTGCATTAAAATACTTTATTTATAAATATATATATATATATATTTTACAAAAAATGTGTAGTTACAATAATAATATGAATATCACCAAAGTCCTAACAGCTGCTGTAGGTTGTTTTAGTTTACACTGAAGTTTGGACATGAAGAGTTTTGTCCTCATGTTACGGACAGTTCCTCACTCTCTCCTTGATCCCATTCCATCAGCAGCTCTGAGGACACCTCTGTAAACAGATGATCCCAGTCCCAGCTCACATCGTCCTGCAGAGGGGGAAGAAGAATTAGAGGCAGCACTAGACAGCCCAAGAAGAGATGGGGGAAGTGTTAATGTACACATCATAAATCTTGATTACCTGAGAGACAAGTGGCATGCTCCCCTGTGCCCCAGAAACAGCTGGATAGAGCCTCAGTGGGAGCTCACAAGCTATATTTACCAAAAAACTCACTCACCTCTTTCACCTCCTGCTCTGGAGCTAAAACCTTGGTGAGAAGCCTCAAGTCAATCTCTCCATCCTGAAGAGAGAGGGAGAGAAGAAATTCACTTTGCTTGCACAAATAGTGATAAGGGTGGAGTTTAAATGGACAACCTTGAGAACAAAAGGAGAAGTGAATGTCAAAGATTCAAAAATACATTTACTTGACTTACTAAGGTCTGAAACGCAGAGTAGTACTTCAGGTCGTTGTCCAGGTCCCGATAAGTCATTACCCGGTTCACCTGAATGCTAAGAGGACAATAGATGTTATGATGATCACACAAACTGACCATGCGATCCCAATACAGCAATCTGGACACATGTAAATGAAGTATGATTGACACTGAACCACAACTGCTCAAACTATGGAGCTTGTCTCAAACTAGATTCTAAGATCTCACACTGAGAGAAAAGGGAGATTGTTGCCAAGTGGTAAATGCCTTAAATTGAAACCCAGCTGCTTATCTGTGGGTTGGAATTAAGTGGGGGGGCTCTCAAAGTGGCTGGGGCCTAGCAGTGCATGCCAGTCCTACTTACTGCACATTACACGCTACATTGCCCTCACAATGAGTTCAATGTGGATATTATCTGGCACAGAGAGCAAGCCCGAGCCTAATAACCTCCACCGCTGTCATAGCCTTGCTACATATTCGACACATGTCGGCGTGTCTCTGGCTGCCCTGTAAATCAAAGGCCCGGTTAGTGAGGACCCTGGTAACGGAGTTGCATAAATCACACCAACTGTTATTTCTGCATTTTAGCCCCATAAAGCAAGACCCTGTGATGGCACAGTGGAGGACAGGCAGCCATCAAAGTCACAGAGCAGGCCACTGCACTTCTCTGGATCCTCTGCATTAAGATGAAGGTACCCGAGGCACAAGCACCACGACTGCTCATGGAGGAGGGGAGGTGGGTTCACTACCTTGGTGGCGGCAATTTGCATGGTGAGATCTTCTTCCTGCACCTCATCAAGGTCTGGGATGACTGGAATATCTAAAAGAAAAAAGATTCTATATTAATATGGATATATTTATTTCCATTCTAAATCACGGCTGGATTACAGTAAGTCCCAGGTGTATGGCAGGAGGAGTGTAGCCATGTGTTCCCTCTTCCTCTCACTACAGCTACAGCCTCAGAAGAGCTGCCCTGTCACAATAGCCATGCTGCCATGAATATTCAGGAGGCCACGCGTCAGCTCTCCCCGCTGTGAGAGGGGCGCAGGCCAGGGGCTCCCCAGAAAGCACCCCCTGCTACCTAAGCATTTGGGCCCTGTCAGAGCGGCACACCCCCAGGACCTGCGCTGGCCGCCGGGCTGACCTCCGTGTCCACTCTGCCACTCTGACTGGGGCCATGTCCAACCATGTGCAAGAGTATGTGCTTACGGGCCCATCTGTGTGGGGTCAGAAGTCACGGTGCGGCCTGGCAGGGGCTGCGGTGCCAGGAGCTGCCAACCACTGCTCAAACAGTGGGAATCCACTTTAATTGGCAAAACGCAACAGGACAGAGGAGGTTTCCACTCCCAAGAAGGACAAGGCAAACTTTCACTTTCAGATGGACAATTGTTAGAGAAGGAAAATATAGACAGATATTGGAGATTATTATTATACTCCTACTAATTCAAATTAAGAAAAATAAGATGACTATCACAAGACTAAATTAAATAAGTTATATGTGGTGTACAGGTGTTGTGGAAAAATGTCTCTATTTGCATTGTATTTGCAAACTTTGTTAGCAGACATTTGCTTCATGAGGAGCAGCTCTACAGCAGAGTCTCAAAGTGGGATCAGAGATGGATAGTAGCAGAAGAGGAGCTGCATGAAGAGGCTTGTCAGTAATCTCTGACCACAGTACTTCAGCCTCAGGGGAAAGTCAATACTACAGGTAAATAGAGGTGAGCAGGTGGAAGTGTGCATCTGATGTGAGGATATATCTGACCATCTATTTCATCCAAATAACTCTGGAAAAAGTGGAGTAGGATCGTCAGCAGCCATAAGCATCTTTACATATATGTAGTTATTTTTAAGTAACACTCACAGATTACAGATTAATAATTTGGATCTGACTTCAACATGCTACAGGTTGAAAATGTGTCCAAATATGACCCATCACCTTTAGATAGCTAACCTCTAACCCTGCTGGTTTTCCCTGTTTTAATCAAACCAAATTCAAAATGCTCTTCCCGTTTAGCCACTGACAAGACTCATCTGTGTTTCTGATATCCAAATAAATGCAGGCGCGGGTATTTCATATGCATGAGGCCGGGGTGACACTTTGTCCTCTCATTTACAAAGCACGGTGTTCAGCAGAATCCGTCCCCCCTGGACCCCCAATCAAATTTAATGGTCTTAGTGCAATGACATCAAAAAGCCTTGCCATCCAGCTCTTTGCAAATAGCTAACCGGGTTGTCTATCTGTCCACACACACAGAGCCCACGCCTTCCAGTAATGTCCGATTAGCACGAGTTCAATTTAAAACTAACAGGCATATGCTGTCTATATGCAAAGTGTATTATTAGGTGCAACAACGTTCTAAATGAGCTTCAAATTCACCCCATTACGGCAGGTCAAAGGGGCAGTTGCAAACAACCTGTGTTTTCTTTTGATGCAAAGGCCAGGTCTATCAGCTGTCAGTGCGCTGCGTATTACCAACACAGACTTCCTTCTCCCAGCTCGACGTGGATCAAGTGGGCTTTTGTCTGGCAGAAAGAGACCTGTGTGTATCTTTACTACACACTCAGGTTCAGCTGGTATCAAAAGAGGGAATCATTTACTGTGAACATAGGGACAGATCCCGGCCCACTCCAATCATTACACAGTTTACACCACAGAACTCACCGCTAGACTAACTGGCTCAAAGTGTGACTGGTGCTAGCTGTGTTTGTGATACTAGTGCTATTAGAAGTGACCAGCGGGGGGCTTCGGGGGCCACTGATGAGGAGATTGGAGCAGGGGACTGGGCATGCCTTCTCTCTCCTCTCTCCTCGTTGCCAGTGGACATAAGGGATAAGAGTAGGGGACACAATCAAGATGGCAGGCCTATCTCGCTAACCCTCAGCACTGTAATTTCCAATGCCCCTGCCTCGAGCTCTGCATTAAGAGCTCTCCCTCCATCGAGTAATGATCTTTCCTGGAGCATTAAGTGCAAAAGAACCAAGAGCCTGACCACTTTAGTTAATAAACACATCATTACCAGTGTAAATGTTTGGAGGAATCAATCAGGAGCTTGAATGTATTAGGAATGCATGCACAAATTAAAGTTCTTAAATGAACTGCATGTATCCTGTGCTCTTACAGTTTTAAAAAGGGCACGACAATCACAACTGAACCTGAATTGCTACTGCTTTAACATGTATATAGAGTTCACAGACAATTTCTCTTCATTCTCAGTATATGGACAGCATATACTGCAGCAGCATAGGTACTGATTAATGACTGGCTAGATGTGCTGTGGTTTTGGAAGTAAGGATTCAGATCAGAGATTCCATGAGGTTTAATCTTACATACAGTTCATTTAATTCTTTACTTTTTATTAGCTTTATACAGGACTTTATGGTGCTATTTCTGCTAAATAGCCATTACAGTGTCAAAGCAGCATTGTCACATCATATATGTTCCTAACCAACTTCCACTTTCTTCGTACAATCTAACTAGAGAAGCTGAACGACATAAAGAGATTCAGTTTGCAGTGGTGACAGTGTGGTGGCTTTCCTGAGGCCCCAGAGCGCGCTGAGAGCCGTGCAAAGCTGTGATGGGCCTGTTTATCTGCTCCACTTCCTCAGGATGGATGCGCTGGGAGCCACTGGGAGACTCTTTTAGCCCGTGAGGAAAGACAGAGCACCACAATGCAAGGGTGCTCTCACCTCCTTCATCATCGGATCCCTCAGGAGTTTGTGGTCGCAATCGCCGACTGTTAAAAGAAAAGAACAGATGAATTATTTAATGCTTTTAATGGTGAGGACCTCTCTGGTTCTTTTGATGACTGGCCTTCTGTCATTTATTTCTTTGAGGACAGCTAAAATGATGTACGATGCGAAATATTTTATAAGAACATAGAAAAAAGATATGGAAAATGGAACAATTCTGTTATGTTTGCCAAAATGAGAGGTACTTTCATTTGCAGCTTTAGACAATCTTCAAGAAAAAAAAAAAATTACATTGGCTAATTTCGGTTCTACCAGAATAACAGTAATGAGAAATCAGTTAGTGCATTTTAATCAAGTGATTGTGTGACACTGGGGATGAGAGGACAATCTGAAAGCTAATTGTACTTTTCAAACAAAAATATCAGATTGGCCGTTTAAATTCAATTTAAAGCCTAGATTAAAACTGTAATGTTAAGTATGTGGGGACTTACTCCTCCATGTCCTCAGCTGCAGGTCTTCTAGAGGACCTGTGTAAAAATGTTGAAGAGACATTAGAAACAGCATCGCTTGTACACTGGCAAGTGCTAGTGAAAAACAAAAAAGTGCTGTGAACGTTATATCCTTAGTAGTATGCAATCATCTATACTGTTTCAATAGGCCCAATTTAAATCATTACCAAAACACTTAAAAAAAAAAAAAATCCGTTTCAAAACCTTATTCCAGTGCAGAACTGCACAGTATTCTGGTGGAGTAGTGCCCCCTGCTGGTTTTAGAAGAAACTCCAGTTTACAAACTTTCTTGATAAACTCACAATAGATAGCATTACAACTAATGAACAACAATTATAAAGCAGAAAATGCCCCACTTTCATTACAATAGTTGCAAATATATGTTTTTTTCCTATTTCAGTAATGTTCCAGTGATCCAGCGGAGAGTGCACTATAAATCTTTCTCTTTTTCAAGCTTGGTGAATTTTAGTCAATTTTAGTTTGAAGTCAAACATTTCTGTTTCTGTTTCTTCATTTTCTAAATTTACCTCTGAAACAGAATTAATTAAACAGAAAAGTGTATCTATCCTGCCTTTAAGCCCAGCAGACAGAGGCAGAGCAGAGCTACCTGGCTGCCCTTGACCGGTGTCCTGTCTGGGTGGAGGGGACTGTGGGGGGGCGAGACATTACTGGCTTCTTGATTAAGACTCATGTAAGGCAAAGTGATAGACATGGTAAAACTGTCTCGAAAAAGTTGTTAGGGATAAAATATATTGTGACAAACTGGCTTCAAAGGTTCATCAATACACTGACAGATCATTTAGTGTCAATTAGAAGTGATAGATCGACAAATCCTGGGATATCTGTGCTGGGATTAGTGGGAGGAGGGCGGGCGGCGGTGATTGAGCAAAAGGGGTGACATTGAAAGCGCGAGTCCTTGTCCGTTCCGAGGGGGGCCATTACTTACTTTGTTTCAGAGAGGATCAATGCGCGTGCGGTGATTTTTCTAACACCACCTGTATTACAATAGCGTTGGGACCATGAGTTAAGCTGCGTTACACCAAAGCATGTAAGCCTTACGCTGAAAGGGAAGATCTATTGAGTTGGCTTTTCTAGTTGCTTGCACTATAAACAAGCTCAAATGATCTAATGCATCAGTCCAGTGCATTTCCAATACTTGTTAGACTAAAGCATAACTAGCTGGTTTTATGCAAGATGTGGTTGGCTGATTATGACCAACACATTCCATCTGTTCCAAATATTCTGAGGAGTTGCCATGTTATGCTCCCTGTGTAAAGACCAGCCCGCAGTGGTATGGGGGTGATTAAGTGGCTTGAACCGGCGTGATGAAGTGGCTAGCTGACTAACAGTGCCCTCCTGTGGCTGATGCATTAACCATGTCAATTACCGCCTTGCTCGCAGATGAAGACGAATGGAGAGTTGCCCGCTCAGACAGACTCCCTCTAACCTTGTTGATTCACAGCCCGAGTGCCAAATATGCGCTGATAAATAAGCTCATTCAACAGCATGAGGGTTCATTAATAACAGTAGAAGTGCTTTTTGTGTAGATGGGAGAAAGAGACAAAGACTTGTACTTGGCAGATCCCGAACCGGAGCTTTCTTCAGCCCATCCTCCCAGTCTGCGCGTAGGTTTCGCTGGAGGACCCTGAAAAAACAAAACAGAAATAGAATGTCACATGTTTAAAAGGACACTGTGTAACTATTCTTAAGAATTTATTGCTTTGCATGGATTGTTCCATAGCACGGCATTAAACGTCTCCATCTTCATAGAGATAAGCAGGGGATGTCACCAAGCCAATTTACAGGTCATCTTTATGAAGAGGCAAGCCTGTGCAGATTGGCCTTCTTGCTTTCATCAGTCTACCTCAGGGCAACAGTGGCTACAGTATCTTATCACAGACTATGGAGTGAAAAACTAATGTAATGTTAAGAACTGTAATGTTATGAGCTTTGGGTGTTTTGTTATCATGCATTGAAGGCAACATCTGCATATTGGCGGACCCCCCACCAGTGAAGTTAAAACATTAATCCTATTTTTTATGTAACATACAGCAGTTCTGCTCTATTTTCTATTAAATGAATGGCCTTGCACTGTGCATTAATCCTAACAAAAATAAATACGCTTTATCAAAGAGGATCGTGAAAAGCTGTCATCACAATTATTTTTATGTGGCGCCAGAAGGGGGCCCTCTTGTCTAGGATAACACAAATTATGAGTCCATCTGGCAAAAGGACACTTCAAAGTAAAGTTGAAAGTATATTGCATACTTTTATGAAGAGATATCGTACAAAGCTACTCCAGGTCATGTTTGTTTAAGTTTTCAGTTTGCCCATTTCTAGGAACAGAACCTATGGAGCAGAGTGTGGGAACGGCTAAAGTGCATATATCTTTCCCCAAAAATAGATCCACAAGGGGAAAAAAATGACCTTCTCATTCCTTCATTCTGAAAATAGTAAACTCCAAATGCATTCTGATCCTGTGACCACTCGTACTTGAATGAATGAATTCCTCAGAGCGAGCGAGGGTGGGCACCAGACAAATTGATTTAAAAAAAAAAAAAAAAAGGGACCACCATTTCTCATTACTAAATTGTGTCTGTAGAAGGACAAAGGGCTTGTGAAAAATCTCGTCCGTTTATGATGAAATAATTGCTCAAGGCTCACTCCTTCGCCAAAGCCATTTATAAATTTGAATGTCACCATTAAGGGGTGCATGGGGGAGGGAGGGAAGGAGAAAAGGAGAGGGGGGGCTGTATTCCACTTTATTTTACCATTAATCCAGACAGGCTGCGGCTGAAAAAGCTCCTTCAACTTTGAGCAATTAGTGATTTTCTCATTATGAACAATTTCCACTATTAAGGTATTTTAAGCAATAATTACATCCCTGCTTTTGTTATTTGACCTACAGCGCACTGGCCACAGTAGATCCTTTCCACTTTTCCTTTTTTGGTTCTCAGAGACTTTTTAAGAGAGTAATGATTTTTATTATTGATGTGTCTTTTTTTTTTTTTTAAATCATATGACCTACTTTGTGCAACTTCCACTATGTAAGTTTTTAGGTGGAGGGTCCGAAATATTCTGTCCTCCATGGAGATTTGCTGAAATATTCCGCAAAATAGCCAAAAATGTATCAATCTCCATGCAGGTGACTCTAACAAACCAAGTAGGATATTTCTGACAATAAAACGGCTGTAATTGAATGAATGAAAGATATATGTTTATACTATACTGTGGAACAGTTCAGGCAATAGCATTTCCATGAGATAAGCAGGTGACAGTCCTTCAAACACAAAACTACATCAACAACAACTTTAATCACAGTAGTTGCAGTTACAGTTTGGTTTAAAATGATGGTTTGAAAGAGATAAAAATTCAGGAAAGGTCAAGTCCAGGACAGAGAGGGAAGTGAAAAATATCACAAGTATTAGAAAAGATGATGTCAACCACAAGACAACGTATTCTGTATTCTCTGTATTTATCTCAAGCCATTTCAGCAGCTAATGTCAGAAACATTCCCTCGGGGAAACTCTGTTACTCAGGTTAAAATAAAGCTTAGTTTAAGTCTAATCTCACCATAAAGAACTGCCTCAGCTGAAACTACAACAAATGAGCTGATTTGCGCTCTTAAACAAGTATGACACATAACATTACAGTCTCAAGCTAGCTAAAAAGCAGTCGCCTTTTTGGTGAAAATCAAACATCTAAATTGGACAGTGAACGCTCATATTGATCACACATTCTTGAAAATGTGTTGTTTAAATACATTTTGATTTTTTTTTTATTTGTTATTTTTTTTATCTTAAAACTGTTTTGTCTGTGTCTGCCAATATGTGTATTGTGTCACCATGGTAAATGCTAAACATTCTGCCAATAGAGATACATGTAGAACACCTCTAGCACACTGTGTGACATTCTAGGCAAAGCAATCCATGGGTTTCATAGTGATGAAAAGCGGGAATCATCACCGTAGCAATTCAAGACAAAATATATCTTTTGAATGGGCAAAAGTCCTCAGAATATCAACTGAAACCCATGAACATCATCTCCATAGAGACAAGCAGGTAACAAACCCTCCACCACAAAAGTCACATAGTATATGAATAATTGCACATTGAAAGACATAACCCAGTGTACAAAAAGAGAGTTCACTGACGATTTTGGACAATACACAAGGACAAATACAGGATAATCTAATAATAAAGTGCAAGAATATAGAGAGGGCCCCCAAGTGTCCTGAGAAACAAAACACATCTGGCCCACCAGTCCTTAGTGACCAAATATGAACTTCACAGTGTAGTAAAAAGCTAATGGCTGTTAAAGCAATTAGCTCAGCCCTCGTAGTTTTCTAATTTGGGATTCTGTGACAGTCTCTAGGGCGAGGAACTTATGGTGGACAAACCCTAGCAGCCCATAAAAGCGAGTGACTCTTTGTTTAAAAGGACGTCAGGAATGCGACAAATCAGTTGGGTATTTTAGGAAGATGAGGCCAGGCTTGATAAACGAAGACTGTAAATAAACCCCACAGTCACAGGACATGATGGAAAAATGTATTGCATGTGCACAGCAGGTCACAGAGGGCGCGAGAATAATGCTTCATACATTTGGGAAGTTGGCCTAATTTGGAAAGATTGGCCTAAAGTAAAAGCATAGCAAGAATTTTTGCTTTGGGAATTATGTCCATTTTATAGTTCCGCCAATTTAGTCGGAATGGTTGATGTCATGAACACTGCAGCACTGCTGCGGAAGTTGTTTAGTGGCCGTTTATTAAAAATGTGTTTCAGTTCACAGTGCTTCAGTCTTGAAGTGTAGAAGCTTCAAAATTTATAAACTTAAATGAAACTTATAGTTGGCTTCTATTCATAAACTTATTGCTGCTTATTGTTAGCAGTGTAATGCAGTTCCATTCATAAGTTTAAAGTCAATGAAAAATTAGAGATGTAACAATAACCAAAATATTGTGGCATCGTATTGTCAAATGTTCCACAATAATGTGGAACTTTTCAAATCAAAATCACAAGCTCCTTCTGCATTTTGAAAAGAAAAATGAGCATTAATGCAATTCTCTTTAAGTCTCAAATACCTCAATAAATATTGTATCGTGAGATATACATCAGTTTGTGATAATACTAATAATGTCATTACATCCCTATGAAAAAGTCTTTCAATTTTGGGCAGGAATAATACTGTTTTGATTTTTAAAGGTCATAAGTTTAAGAATTTGAGCAATGTTAAAGAAACACTTCATAGTGCGCAAACAATTAAGGGAAACACTCAAAGAGCTCACAAAGAAATATGTGAAACAACACAGTTCTTAAGTCAAGTTAGTACCTGCAGTACCTACCTCATCTTCATCCTTGAGTTTAAATCATGTATGAGGTGAATAAATAATACACAGATAAGTTGTTTCTTTTTTAAGGAAAGGGGTGTGTCTCAGTATCTTAATAATCACCCTTTACCTCTCCCGATGCAGAGCCTGAAAACTTTCTTCCATGTCGATTCTCCTCAAATGAAGTCTGATCCGCTCCAAGGCGAGCCCGTCGCCCTGATTTTGGAGCCTAGAAAAATATTTTCAAAAAATGTCCTTGTTTATATTAGACAAAGTCAAATTAAATGTATTATATGTTTGAGTTGAAAGCAAATGTCCATCAAAAAATCTCCATACTACATTTGTCCAAGAATGAATGCAAACAATTTTAGGCAAGTTTAACAGCAGCTACATCAGTACTGAAATATACAAAATTAGCACATAATGACTTTATTTCCTGCATATAATATGCATTGCTAATCTATTATTAGTATGATGATTAAAAACAAAACAAAAAAAGTATGTTAAAGATAATGGGAAACTAACTCTTGTCCTTATGCACTTAGGATCAAGCTAGCGCTCTTAGCATCTCTAGCTGCATTTTGGGACAAGTTAGCAACGACTCGCTCTCAGCACAGAAACATTCTAACAGTGAGTTCTTTCTTTTGCTCCCACCTTTGCAGTTCATTAAACGGCACTTACATTCTTCGAAGCGACAGAGTCTCCCAGCTGAAGAGTGTCTTCCATTTCTTGTCAATGCGTATGCTAAGATTGGCTAGGCTAAGTTAGCACAGCAGCCTCTAGGTTCGCTCACGCATCACTTAGCAACGTTCTCCATGGCAACGCCAAACTCCTGAGAGAGACGTCAAAAGATGGATCAGTTTTGCTTTCTTATATTAGTTTCATTAAATGTAAAAAGTAAAATATGTGTATAATGCAACACAGGCATATAACATATCTTGTTATTTCTGTCTCTTTTTTCCCCCTTGCAGCAGCAGTTGTCTCGTTCCTGAACCTTTTCTGTTTATCCACTAGATGTCACTGCAGGCCCGTTTTAAATGGACCATTCTTTTTATACAGCTACTAAACTTGAAGAGTATTATTTTTTGTGTGTAGGCTATCTTGATAAACTATATTTCATAATTATGATATTTGATTAATGATCAAAGGAATGAGACTTTCACATTATTTTTCAATTCATCATGTTTATTTTATAATTTTGTGACACAGTGCCCACTGCTGCACATAGAAATGTAGACGAAGGTTTTATATTAGAAAATGATGTCATTTAAACTTATTTTATTGCATAAATAAACTATATTACGCTGTGGATGTAATTGCCCTGCCACAGCCACTCCCACCAAAACGTCACAGCGTGCGGATAAAAAGAGTGAGTGAAAGCGCACAGTGCTCGAGCGCGTGAGGCTGATGTGGAGGAGCCCTGGAAAGAGGCGCACTGACTCCATGTGCGCAAGTGGATGAGCCGCCAATGCAATTAAGAGTGCGCGGAAAGGAGCGATATACCCGGGAATTAAAGTGACTCTGTACCAAGGGGAATGAAGAGAAGCATCGCGAGTTCTAATAACGAGCTGAGCATATTTCTCGCTATGGCACGGATTTGCACTCGTATAAATGCACATTTTGCGAAGATGACATAGCACTTGACAAAAATGGGATTCCTCCGAGAGCCGAACTCACTAACGACCTGAATGAGTAAACAGAGACTGGATTCAGATTGGGGCTCAGTTTGGGAGTCTCTGCCTTGACAATCCACGGTTGTGAGTGAACTGCAGTTGCCTAAATATGAATCTGCGTAAAGCCCTTCTGCTTTTCCTCTTCCTAAATAGTGTGACAATGACTCTAACCCTTTCTACCTGCACCACTGTGGACATTGACCACATCAAGAAAAAGAGAGTGGAAGCAGTGCGGGGACAGATTCTCAGTAAACTGCGGCTGACCAGTCCGCCTCAGACCACTGGTCCAAGTCAGGTACCCTACCAGGTTCTCGCCCTCTATAACAGCACCAAGGAGCTTATTGAGGAGCTGGGACGGGACAAGCAGCAGAGTTGTGGCCAGGATAACACGGAGACTGAGTACTATGCAAAAGAGATTTACAAGTTCAGCATGATCAGTGGTCCTGAGCACAGTAAGTACACCCTCTTCTTTGATTGCTCCATGCGTAATGGGGTAAACATTTACACACAACTGACCACATAGTCCCATTTAGCCTGTCTTTGAAACAATATAACAAGTTAGGTTAGGAGTTAGGTTATCCATCTGGAAAATAAAAGGTAGGCTATGTATTTTCCACTGCACAGTCTCCTCCTCGGTTGGGCAACTTTTACGCAAACGTGCATTCGTGGCGCGTCATGCAAAGGAGAAAGTAAAATAACAAAATGGAATGAGCGCTATTCCTTGATACATACCTCACACCAAAGCCATGGGAACTCCAGCCTAAAGTCTGACACATTCCTCTGAAAGGAAAATTCTCAGGCAGTTAAGTATACTATGTTGCCAACTCCAATACCTCATTTCCATTTTCTGACTGTGAGTTTCCCAATATTTTTCCACTGTTATAAAATTATATGCCTCACAATTACTCTGTAATAGCAAAAAGCTGAGACGGTATTTTGATCTAATTCTCTTGTCCAGTAATATTGGTATTTCCTGTATAAAATATGCTCCACTGATTGTTCCAAAAAAGAGAAACAGTAGCTGACTGACTGAATCTCCAGAGAAAGTGGAGTGGAGGAGTTGGACTGACGCCTATTCACGGTCAGTGGCTGATTAGCTCATGGCATTTGAAATCAACAGGTGTTTATGCTGTGCCCTGACACTAAACAGAGTCTCCAGCCTAAGCCCTGAATCAAATGTGTTTCACAGCTCCCACAAAGTGCTTCTGACATTCAAAATACACAGCTCGGGTTGATCCCCTGGTCAGAGGTAGCCAGAGCGCCCAAAACAAACACAGGCCTAAGGAGTGCGATCACTGATGGCCACGTGCCCGGGACATCACATACAGTAGGTCGTACTGTAGGCCTTTAACAGGACATTCACTTTGCTTACTACTGACACCGGTCACTGCCAAAACCAAAAATTAACACTTCTTTTTTCCGTTATGTAATTTTCTATGAGTGATTTTAGTGTGCAGCAACATAATGTCTGTCACCTTGATAATTTTGCAGTTCGCTTCATTTTCATTCCTGTTGGATATAATGACTTTTACATGCACTGTTTTTGGAAGGTGGGAGTGTTCGGGAATCCAGTCAAGTTTAGCTTTTTTTTTTTTTTTACCCCAGTTAAAAAGTTAAACAGAAGGTCTTCATCCCTGAAATATTACAAATGCAATTCAAAGTGCAATTAAATGAGCCATATCTCAGAAAGCACAATGATCTAAAGGTGAACTGCTGATTTGCAACAACAACAACAACAACAACAACAACAACAAAAACTAACAAAAAAACAAAGGCTAAGTCACTTGGAGCATTACTTGTAAAAAGTTTTGGGCTTTAGTGAAATCTCAGAATTAAAGTTGAGTCAGTAAAACGTGGGGTAATTTTTTCAAGAGAGGTTATGATCTATGGGAGAAAAGTGGGCTGATGTCATCAAGATGAAAAGACACACAGCTGTTTGGCCTGTGAAACACCCCCAATACCAAAACTTAACTTATAATAGACTATTTCTTCACCATTTCTTGATTTTAGTAACAAATCATTGTTTTTAGTCTTTAAAAAGATTTAAAAAGTTAGTTTGTTAGTCCGGTCAGCTGCCGAGCTACATCTGGATGCAAGGTGCAGTAACTAACCACATGCGGATGTCCCTAAAGCTTGATCAGAGGGTCAGGCCATCAAAAATATGATTTGAGAAATTCAGTAGTAAAAATCCAACGGAAGGATTAGAAAGGGGATAGTACACTTAAATTGCTGTTAATCTGAAATGTATGCTTGTTGGGACTTGTATCTTTCTTATCATTTGTTGCATTTGTGGTGACCACAGTTTTAGATCTCAAATCTCAGGTATAGCTGGAGTTCCAGGGAAAAGGAGTTAGCTATCATTTAGAATAATTTTTAGAACTACACAGCAATAAAGACAAAAAAATAAACACTTCTACTTACTTCACTTATTTATGAATGGGGTTGCCTGATAAGAGTATAATACATTGGTTGTGCTGAATAATAAAGCATAAAATGCTGAGCTCCACAATAAAATGACATTTTATGGGTCATTCATCATAGCTTTTTCAAATAAAAATATTTCTTTTGAATGGGCCAAAGTCCTCAAAAAGTCCTTCAAAACAGGAGGAAAGAGACTCTTTTTGCTTACTTTGTTGATTTGCTCCCACCAAAGCTGGCATCACAAATAGCCAGTAGAGCAGAGGGTGAAGCAGAGGGTGATTCCCGGGGAGCAGTGGTGGAGGAGGCAGCAGGCCGGGCGCGTGTCAGGGTGGGACTGTGGTCTACAACATCAGGGCGAGCCACAACAACCTCAGTCTGTCTTCCAGCCTCATTGCACTGCTTCTTAATCTCCTCTTTATAGACTATCTATGTTGTAATTAATTGAGTGATAATATGAAAATGGGATCAACTGGGCATCATTTTCTTGCTTTGGCTTTTAAATGTGGCTATAAATACACTTTTGCAAGCATGTAAAAGTAAACGCCTCACAATAAAAGTGTGTGTAATTGAGCCAAGTCAGTAGTAATTACAGCCATTTTCATTTATTTACTTGTATAATCTTGTAACTAGATGTCATATTTAGCAAAGATGACTCATGCAGTATTGACATACATTAAACTATCTCAACAATTTAACATTGTGGCCAAAAAAGCAGGGGTCAAGCAATGAGTGCAGGCATTTACAGCTTTGCTATTCAATCATCAGCATGGAACAAATTGCCTACAATATCAGACTTGGCAAAAACAAACTATAATGCAAAATCCACCTAAACCATTGCAATGGGGAATAAATGAGGTCACCCAAAATGAAACCAAAGACCAGATTAGAATTTGAAATCTCCCCTTGAAGTGGGGGGCTTTCCACCTACTGATCATGTGGAGAGGGTGGGCCTAAGCAAGGGCATACCAAGGGAGGACAAGGCTACTACTCCTTATAGATTATGTGGAAACGCTGGACAGATATCAGGCTGTCTGCAAATGCTGAAGGTCAGCTATAAATAGGGAAACCTGGATAGAATCATGGAAATCTAATATAATGGCTGGGGGAAAGTTGAAATTATGGGTCAAACTAAGTACAGATACTTTGAGAGGGTCTTGCATGACACAAGAACAGCTCACCCCTAAGCTGCAGTGCCCCCATCTGCCGCTGGGAACTGCGAGGCCCCGTAATAAACCTGAAAGTTACACCAATAAATTAGGTATATCTTGGCTGTAAATAACATTTCCACTGCGCTCATAAAAATCTGCTTGTTTTCCACTTCACTGCATGTGCTAGTCCAGTTAATAAACACAGTATTCAACACTACTGTATGAGAAAGCTGCCAGGAAGTTTTGCAGAAAGAGTCACAATGTGGCTATCTACTAAGTTGATTAGGGTAAAGGTCAGTGCTCCCACACAATATGTTAGAAGATACTGTATGCTCCCTGATATTACTGTGCATGAGCTCAGTAGGCTGCCTGTCACAATAGTGTAGGGTTGGTTGCTCAGACATGCTGCTGGACAGACTAAGTGATGCCATGTGTTTTCAGCTACAACACTTGGTCCCCGGAAGCACAGTGATTTGGTCTGATTTCTCAGAACACCTGTCGGCTGTGGGGCTAGAGGGAGCAGTCTGTGTTCCACTGTCCACCACATGCGACATTTGGTTTTCATTTCATCACTTTAACTTGTTGCAAACAGGCAAGCTAAAGCAAAAGCAGATGCTCTGTGTTTGGCTTCATATTTTTAAATTTTACTATTAAGCCATGAAATTGATTTGCAACAGAAAACTCAGTGGGATAGCATGTGAAATGGCCTGCATTAATTTGAGTTACTGTTTTCACAGATGACCTCCCCTATTGCCCTAAAGGAATCACCTCCAGGGTTTTCCGCTTCAATGTGTCCATCATGGAGAAGAACTCCACCAACCTGTTCCGGGCAGAGTTCCGTGCTCTGAGGGTCCCCAATCCTGCTGCCAAGAGGAACGAGCAGAGGATCGAGCTGTACCAGGTGTGTGAGCCCACTAATTTCCACTGTTAGCGCTCCATGGTGGGGGGCCAAATGCTCACTTTCTCTCACAGTATGGGCTGTGCAGGTCAGGAAGGAGGGTGAAAACATTTATATTTGGGTGTCCAAGCAGTTCGCTCCTCTTGATCATTATTCCATGTGTGTACAGTCAAATGGATTCCACATTAGGATGGATCTAAGAGCTTGAACAGCCGTCTTAAAGAAACTTGAGCTCACCATTCGTCAGTTTCTTCTCTCTGAGTTGTCAATCTCAGAGCCTATCTTTTTGAGATCATCACTGGTCTACACCTGCACCCCTTAAGTTCTGATTTCATTTGTTTATTCTTTTTCTTCCTTAATTAATAAAGGTATGTCAGATGTCAGTGCGTGGCATATCAAAGATAGATATATTTTTTCAAGTTTCCTCATTAATCTCCCATGAGAGACTAGGAGTAATGATCAGGTTCCAACATTTCCTGCCAGGGAGACAAGCGTCTCAGGGCTGCATACCGCCTCTGAGGCTGAATGCAGCCTGTCAGAGCCTCTGATTGTTTCCAGGGGCTAGGAGGAGATAGGGCAGGGTCGCCCAATGGCCCAGGCAGTAAACAGAGCTGCACTCGCCCCCTCAGTCTGCACTCTGCAGACTGGAGCTGATTGGCAAAGGGCTGACACTGGCAGCGCTCTGGCCCCTCAGTCCCACAGGAAGACAGATTAGATGCTGACATTGTTCAGGATTCTGGTTATCCTAGCAGAGCAGTGGGGCACCTCCATACGATAAACAGCTTTATTCAGGGAAATGCTAGTCTGGTCACTTGCATTTTTGTCTTTGTGGAAAGCTGTGGTCTCAGCACATTAACAACGGAGATATCTGCTTTCTAAACTCTGTGACCCCACATTTGAAGCCACTGTTGGACCTGCTGGTGTGAAGGACAATCAGGTTGTCATTGGCAGAAGGGTAACACGCAGGCATTAACTCACAAAAAGGGGATATCAACACAGGGAGTCACTTTTTCCATGATGAGGAGACGTTTGGCCCAGGGCGTCCCGGAGACTCTGGCTCTAGACAGACAGCTCTGGTTCACTGTGGAACACAAAGTTTATGCAGCTGGCTCACATTTTCAACCATTCTTTCTCACAGATCCTTCAGAAAGACGACCCCAAAGCCAAGCAGCGCTACATTGGGGGCAAGAACGTTCTGACCAAGGGGACACCCGAGTGGGTCTCCTTCGACGTGACCGACACAGTGAGGGAGTGGCTCATGTACAGACGTGAGTGTGTTCATACCTCATAACATTACTCTACGCTTCATTTACAAATGACAGTAGCCCCAAGGAGATAAGGAGCTTCTAAAGACCCTCTGCTTGTATCTGTGCAGAGACTAACCTGGGCCTGGAGATCAGTGTCCACTGTCCCTGCCACACTTTTAAACCCAATGGGGACATCATCGAGAATGCCAATGAGGTACTGGAGGTCAAATTCAAAGGTGAGAATCCATCAAAGTCTGTTTAAATAACAAAATTACATGAAGTTAAGCTGTTAAACAATCAGGGTTTCTTCAAAGTGGAGTTTCTGTCCCTATGCGGACATAGACCCATGGACCCCCTGCATCCACTCTGGTTTGAATACTGGTCTGAATTGTGTTCAGTGAGTTTGTGTCGAATCTCTTGGACTTGTTTTCATGTCACTTGATTGGATCAAATTGGCATAATGTTGTTTTAACATACTTTAGTTCATTCTGATTAGGGACTGAGGATGGTTTTAGCATCTTTATTTGATGTCCACCATATATTTCTTTACATATTCAAGTTAAACAACCTATATAAAATGTAGGTAATGTGAATATTTTATAATTTCACATTCATTCACTTATAAGTACTATTGTCCAAGTCTCCTGCTCATACTATATTACTCCTATTATAGTAGTACTTTTTATAAGCTTAGTCAGAAAAGTCCTTAGTCCTGTCATCAGCGTGTGTTTCCTGCTGTGTGCACAGACTTTCTTTATGGTAAGATAATGGATTTCCTTTTTTATGAAGAAGAAAAGACACAGAGCATGGGAATACAATTGCTCTGGTATCTCACTTAGTGCTGAGGCCCCGGGGCCTGGGAACACTGTAGAATAGACCAGCCACAAGGAATGTGCCGCAACGGCGCTCAGACGCTTGGCCCCGAATTAAAGAGGGCCGGACAAATCCAGCAGCAGCATCTCTCCGGAGATATCCACTGCTTTAGCTATCAGGGCCAGAGTGGATGAGCAGACCCTGGTGCTGAGGAGGGAGGTGAGAAGCACAGGAAGGGACCATGAGAGAGGAGGAGAAAGAGACAGTTATAAAGTCTACACTGTATTGATGTGTTCTAAATCTCTTACTCACAGGTATGGATGAAGATCTGAGCCATCAGAAGGAGCAGAAGGAGCAGCTCTACCCCCACCTCATCCTCATGATGCTGCCACCACATCGACTGGACACTCAGTCCTCGTCGCGAAGACGCAAGAGGGCACTGGACACCAATTACTGCTTCAAGTGAGCCACAGTTCCCTGGAAGAAACCTTTTAATCAAACTGCTCTCTTTGCCCTCAGTGTTGCCAGATATTTTGATTAAAATTTAATGATGCATTCCTTTCATTCATATCTTCCACTATAGCTCTATTTGGGACAAGTACAAAAATTGGTCTTGCGTGTAACTGGGGTTGATATCTTATGTATAATCCACTCAGGCAATAATTCCTCTGTATAATTATACTCCAAAGACTGGCTCAAATCTCAATGTTGTTTACCAAGGAATGGAATCTGTGTGACAATCATGTACGTCAGTAGTGTAAGAAAATGTGAGCTATTTGCTTGGAAAAACAGTAGGATCATCTTTCCAGCTGAACTGTAACATGACACGGAAACTTATTTGAGATGCCAAGGGGGGTACCAAGCCACATAGAATGAGCTTGTTAATCTTGTCAAAGAGCATGACAGAGGTATTAGAGATACAAGTCGGGATCTGTCCCAGCACTTGCCAGCAGTACCTGGTCCTCCACACCGTCTGCTTGGCTCTGGGGATCCTCTGTCAGCCTGACAGTCAGAAACCTGGGCTGACTCCAGGAGGGAAAATAAGGGCACACCTAAGAGTGGAATTCTCTCATCTGTGGATCTGAGGCCACAGGGAGCAAATGTACACAGGTCTGACTCCTGAGTGTAATCCTGTCTTCTCTCCTTTGCAGTAATTATGAGGAGAACTGCTGTGTGCGACCACTATATATTAATTTCCGCCAGGACTTGGGCTGGAGGTGGATTCATCAGCCTGAAGGGTACTACGCCAACTTCTGCTCGGGGCCCTGTCCCTACCTACGCAGCTCTGACACAACCCACAGCACGGTAAGTCAAAAAGCAACTACAGTATCATGAAATTTGGACAATTTTAGACCCATTTTATTTGATTCTTAGTAGGGTGAAATTAACAAATTCTATTTTGACAACAGGCCAATTTTATGCATATTTTCAAAAAATATATTTAATTAAATGATATCAAAGATTGCAGAGAGTTGCTTTGACAGCAACCCAATAAACTACTTTATATTTTTACTTACTGTCATGGTATTGAGTAATTTAAAAAGAATAATATTTGAAATACTATCTGTAAGCTCTTGAATCACCACTCCTGTGTCCTCCTCACAGCTGCTGAGCCTGTACAACACTCTGAACCCAGAAGCATCAGCGTCACCCTGCTGTGTTCCTCAGGACCTGGAGCCCCTCACCATCCTCTACTATGTGGGTCGCTCGCCCAAAGTGGAGCAGCTGTCCAACATGGTGGTCAAGTCCTGCAAGTGCAGCTAGAGACAGTGAGAGAGACACAGACTGGCACTACTCAGGAGCTGGCAGCAGGGGTTTGAATTACTCACCGCTGCTTCTACAAAATGTACAAGGACTCTTTAATCCACCGACAAGAAGCAAGCTGAAAATGAGGCATTCACCCAATGAAGACAATTACCACTTCACTGAAACACAGACCTCTTGAACTTGAGACTTTTAACATTAGTGTTATTATAATATGATGATGTCATTGTAAAAAGAAACTGAACACGCATGAAAAGAAGGTACAATCAAAACAACTAAGAGACAACTGTATGTCCTTGCTGGAAATGAACGCTGTACTGTCACACTGTTCATTGAAATGCTGTCAGATAGAAGTAAGATGTTAGAGAGACAAAATAAGACATGCTGGAAAAAACAAGCCTTTATTCAAAGTAGTATTTCCATGGTTATGTTTACCTCTTGAATACAACAGGACCCAGGGATGTTCTATAGCAAGTGAAGCCTTCTGTTTTATCAACATTGTATGTCACTAAGTGAACACTTAACTAGAACACAAAGTGTAAATGTTTTATTATTACCCTTGAAAACACTTTTTTAATTAAATGGACTGTTGGATAGTATTAAGTTTTATGTTGATATTTCAAAATCCCAAATGTGACTTCATATTCAGCAGAGATGGATGGTCACTTCTACTCTACTGTTAAGTACTCATGTTGTTGCTACAATTGTCAGAATGGCTGTAAAAATCGTGCATGCTGCAGAAAACAGTCCTTGTTCATGCAAGATGCACATCAGTATCGCAGCATGCATCTGCAAAACACAGAATGGCTACAACAGAACTGAAATACTGCCTAGCTACTACTAATGTTACAAAACCACAGACATGGAAAGGAACAAAATACTTTTACTCAATATATGCAGGTTGATGTTTGTGGGATTGCTGTTACTGAATTAATTCTCTCAATGAGTAAAAACACACCTTGGTGAATAAGTGGGTTGGTTGCAGTCACTATTGCTACTTTCAAAAGTACAGTTTACTTAAGTAAACTCAACATTCAATACTTTTTACTTGGTATTATTGAGTACAACTACCGCTACTTTTTCATACTATTTTGCAGTAAGACTTATGTCACATATTAAGTACAGTAGCATTTAAAAAGCATTATACAGCACAGATTACAACAGATATGTCATAAGTGGTATTCATGCTTAAACTTTAAGTAATATTCAAGTAACATGTGCCACCAATAAGTAACATAGACACATTTTTCCATTAAAAGGCCCTGAGTCAGCTATTTTTATGGTCCCAAGCAGTACTCTCCTCGCTTTGTGCAGAGTCAGTGCACTATGCTTTAGCTTGGAGCCAATAATGTCACCAAAAGTACATGATCAATTAATACTTAAAACAGCACAAAAACAAAAATAAATGTACAACAATTTGGTCCTATGACCACATTTCACAAAAACATTCACATTCAAGAATATAATGCTTTCTTTATATAAAACTTTGTAAACGTTTAAACTATGATACCTCCCTGGACCTTATGTGTGTTACACATTCATAACTGTGTAGAGCAAAAAGGCATATCTGACTTTACTGAAGTTTTCTTAAAGCTAAAAAACATGGTCAGGATGTGCCTTTCACACATTCTCTAGCAACAAATAAGTACTCCAGTGTGGCCGCACTTTCTGGCTACAACATGTTAGGGATACACCGATACAATACAGACACCAGTATTGGATATCTGCGCTGATATTGGAAAATTGGGTGGATGAGGTATCGGCTTCCAAGATATGCAGCTGATATTCCACTTTGGTCTTTAAACTGGTGTAATAAGATGATTTACTGGTCAATGTTGGCCCAAAATGTCTCATAAAAGCTGCTCTAATTACTTGATAATGATAAATAACAGTTACAAAATACATTTGACTCATTTTTCACCATACACTGTTTGTGTTTAAAGGAAATAAATTATATTTTCAGTCTCTGCTCTAGTATTGGCTGATATTGAATAGACATTTAAAGCCAAAGCATTGACATCAGAACAGAAGTGTTCTTAGCCACATATGACAGAATCATCCTCCCTGCATGTCCTGGTGGTTCAGGGTATAGATGTGAAATTGATCAGGCAACCTCTGGATGACTTCGCTCAACTACTGAAGTGAAATTCTGCCCTCTAAATGTAAATATGTTATAATGCCACTGCTTTGAGTTCAGTACAGAACACTGCATCCTGCTGTTAAAATGCCGACAGAGACACGGAGAAGCATCTGCTGAAGGCTATCTATCAGTGCAATCTTTCTATGGCACTGCTAGTATGGAGAGAATGAAAGCAGGCAGCCGCTCTTAAATGTAGCTGGGGGCAGGGGGAGTTTGAAACGCGCTGAAAAGGCCATCTCATAAGACACGCAACAAAATCCCAGTCTGCTGCAAGGCTGGCTACACGCACCGTCCTCTCACATATCTGTTGCCATATAGTAAAACGAATAAATAGAATGTTGGCGGATGCTGGTTGTTGTCTAGTCTGTTGTTACATGCAGAAACACCTGTCATGGCGGCACAATGGTGGACCAGGTCTCAAGTCGCAGTCTTCGTGTCATCTGTGGCTCGGCTCCTGGCCCGGAAACACTTTGCGGTACATGGAGAGACCTGCAGGACATAAACAGCCAGTTATTTAAAAAGGCAAAGGGGAAATAGAATGGTTTTCCCTGTCCTAGCTTTTGATCCAAGGGTTAATAATAGAAAAAGCAGTTGGGTGTTAAGCCTGTGTATGGAGTGACTCAGGCTGCTGTCCTATCTATTGGCTTAGGGCCAGTAGGAAAAGGCATTCCCAACACAGGTCGTGCTAGCGAGTTTGTGCTTCCCAACAGTATCCCTTTTCATTCCCCTTCTGCAGACTATTTATTTTGGTGCTCTTTTACGCCGGTGAAGGCTGACTGAGCTAGAAAATGAAAAACATCGGCTCCAGTGATATGGGGAAGCAAGAGATAAGAGTCAATGTCTAAACTAGTTAAATACAGATGGCTTAAGTCCAAGTTTAAATCAAGAAATGTTTTTTTCTGTATCTTTCAGGCTAACCTTATTTATTTGGCATTGTCAGAGCAAACCAGCTGCACAATTTAGGTTTGATTTGTCAATGGTTTTTAGCCAAATGCAGTTCCGGTTACAACTAGCTAAGGCTGAAGGATTACTTTAATAAAAACATGCTGACATGATGAACTGAATCTGGATTTAACATAATTTCCAATCTAATAGCAATCAGATCAAGTGACAGAAGTGGGCGATATTGGTGTGTAGTGTCTTGAAACACAATGACAGTACAAATTTATGTAAACTGACTAGGATAATAAAAGTTCCAACTCATTTTCGATACTAAAGAATAGATTCGATATTTAATACCGATTCTGATACCACTGTATACATCTATAAATGGGATTTCAACATTAAATAATAGTACTTTTTTTATATTGTGGCCTTATATCTGTGTAATCCCTCAGTCGTATGTTCCATAGGGTTCTATGGGCCCATTTACTGGTCTATGTGGTCTCATACTTGTTCTGATACAGATGATGCTCATTCTAAAGCTATTCAGGAAAGGTTAATTTCAGTCTGTAACTTTTTTACTATCGATACCTACTCAAATCTAGTTTCGATACTGTTTTAGTATCAATTAATATCTAATAATATTGTTGATACTTCTGACAACCCTAGAACTGACTACCCACATGTCACCCTCATCTGTGCAAGACAGTACCATACTTCCAAGCCCAGTTTGATAATGGAACCTCGCAAAGATCCCATTAAAACAGGCACAAGTGCTGCATTCATTTCCTTTCTCCAACTCCAAGTAATAAATCTCTCATCAGTCGATGTCTATGGAGCCCTGAGAACTTTAGGAAAACTTCAAGAGGAAGGCTTGTAAAACACATGTGGCCGACATAATCTGGATCTGTGCGCTCGCTTTGATAGGTCTTCGTCACAATCTCCCCCTCATCGCATGTCAACACTGAAGCGGGGTGACGCACAGTGAAAATCAGGGGGACTGGGCGAGGGGGCAGGAGGGGGTTTAGGAGTTATACGAGCAGAAACACACAAGAGAGAGATAAAGGACGGCCGTGATTAATGACGGTTGACAGCTGATCATAGAGAATGCTCTCCCTGTCAGAAGTGATCAAGCGGTCCAGTCATCTCGCCACAAAGGTAAACTGGACAGGCACAAAAAGGCCCTGACTCACTCCAAAGCCCCACAATGTCCGCTCCAATAACACCACCCCCTCCATGGCGCGCACACATACTCCTGTTAACTGCGCGGATCAACTGGCTCCAGCTACAAGTTGTGAAGTTCTTCTCTCTATTCCGAGGCATCTCACACACCCTTTGAGCGCAAAAAACAGAGAAAAACGCATTCGTGAAATTCAGAAGCAGCTCCCAGCGGATCTAGTTACAGTAATTGATGAGTTTATAAGATGTTTGTTAACTAAAGCCAGACCCCATTGTGCGGGGAGAGTGAAAAGTAAATGCAATGGTCACAGACACACGCACACTGTTCTGAGGGGACTGGGCGGTGCACTGCTACTGCTGCTGCTGCTGCTGCTGCTGCTGCTGCTGCTACCAAATTTTTCCAGCCCAGGGACATATGTAGTCTGATTGCTAGGGTGACTCGCACACACTGCCCTGATGTGATGAATAGTATGATTTGCTAATGCTAAGGGATAGTATGGAAAAAGTCCTTGATCAGGCAAACAGATGTGAGCATCAGCCACGCTTTAATATCACTGTTACTGCCTTAAAGCTCAACACTTCATTTAGCACGCGACTCCGGATGGAAAAAGTTGTGTAAACGCCACGGGATGAAGACACACACGAGTGCCACTAGCAACCGCATTATAGTGTCATATTGACTGTGGCGTGGTGGAAGTTTGACCGGACAGTGCGCTTGGCAGATGGAAACACTATGAATGAAGAAATGGCCAACAGATGGGAATGCCTGAAATGTTCCCATCACTGGATCTCATTACAAAAAAGATGTCATCGCCCGTAAGCCTCTTTATACTTCTTCAGTAATCTGCGGCCATGGACTCACGCCAGCCCATTGGTCACACAGCAAACAGCACTAAAAAGACTGTTTATAGCCCCGTCGGTTCAAGTGTCTCAAGTTGAGTGAACTCCAATTGCTTTCTTTATGTTCCTTGTGTTTAATTAAGAGATCAACAGGTGGTTAACTGAGCCAAGAGGGCTGTCTCCGCGCAGCACATAATGAGTATCAGTAATGGGCCAAGAAAGTTGATTAGCCTTTAGAGCGGCTAGACATCAATGCCTGGAAATAGGATTTTAAAAGATTTTCTATTCCAAGGCTTGATTAATTTTATCTGCAAAATCATTTTCAGTTGCAGGTGGATTTTTATGAAACTTTGAAGAAAGGCCACAAATATGGAAAAGAACGAATGATTAGTTGCTAGCATCAATCGATTCAGATCACTGTCTAGATCCAGGGGGAAATATCTTGCTTGGTCGCACAGAATAACCAGTTAAGAGGAAATGTAATACTATGATCATGTAAAAATGATAAAACAGAAAATCTAAATTTTTTTGCAAACATTAAAAGGCCAATCTAGTAACATGACACTGGCCAATCAAACTAAACCTTGCCATGTGCTAAGGTTTTAATTTTGTTTTGTTCAAGTTAAGAATTTATGCATTACCAATAGCCCTGATGTAACCTTATTAATTAGTAAGCTATTGTGTCAAGCAGGAACAGTGACACTTACGCACAGATGCCAGAAATTACCCACTATGGGCAACAGTAGCTCAGTTGGTAATGTTTGCCCACTGATCCAAAGGTTGGCGGTTTGAATCTTGCCCTCAACATAAATAATCATTGGTTGAGTGATCACATCCACAGACCCACAGGCTGGCAGTGATACTCCAGCTCCCACAGATAAATAGTGTTGTTGTTAATGTCCTTGGGCAAGACACTTAACCCACCTTGGCCCCAGTGTCTGCGTCTACTGGTGTATGAATGTGTGTGTGAGTGGGTGAGTGGTTCCTTGATGTAAAGTGCTTTGAGTGCCTTGAAGGTGGAAAAGCGCTATAGAAAAATATGTATGTAATATTTTGTAACTCACCTGATTTACCGCATATTGCTTCGTACACTATTCTCTGGCCGTTGGTTATTGGACCAGTGGTTGAAATCTCTGCAGAAGAGGAGTGCCTGGGGACAACAAAAAATAGTAATATTTTTTTAACTCCTCATTTTCTAAAGTAGTTTTTTTAATTTTACATATCTTTTTTATAGATTTAAAACCCAATCCATTCTCACTAGAAGCTAGGAGTTCTCAGCATAAGGCCAGACAGTAAGGCTTGCGGTCTGTTTACCCACTGTCTCTCTTGAGTTACTGTGGCAAGTAGGGGACAAATTCCTACTCCTTGTCCCGGGTGATGCGATTTTCACGTTTGCCAGATAATTATGATGTAGGTTGCAAAATAAAAAGGTGTGTGCCAAGTGTGGTGAATACAAACGTCGCCAGTGTCCGTATGCTGCGGAGTACAGTACTTATGGAGATTACAGGGCACGGATTGCTCCACCTTTCCACATTATCAAACAGCAAATACACTGTTTTCACGGAATAAACCATTAAAGGCACCATTGAAGCATAGAGTGGGAGCAGACGTGCCTGTAACCTTATACATTAAATCTGTTAAGCATTTTTAGGGGGAACAATAAATAAAGCTTAGCTGGCATTAACCTCTCGCCCCATAACAGCAGCTTGCCAGAGGAGCATTAACAAGGTAATGAGGGTACACACTGCCTCCTTGTAAGGGGCTGCACAGTTGTTCTTTCATACCATTACACAAGCACAAATAGAGTTGGCCCACTTCTAGCGTGGCATACCTTGACAGGAAGCAACCCTTTTCACATTGAGGGAGTGAAAAAAAATGTGACCCCTCTGAGTTCCTCACATCACTTTCTTTGACAACGCTCTTTCACTCTGACAGCTGAAGGAAGCACTTCGCCCGGGATCGCTGGATCTCAACTTGCAGTGTGTACAGATAGTATAGAAGCCCCAAGCTGAAAATTTCACATGGCTTGCAGAAATCTTAGGCAAGCGTCGCAGATGTGCAGCCTCTGTGCACTGCAGGTAGCCCAGCGTGCCTAAGTGCTACTGACCAAAGGGTATAAAGTTTAACTATAAACACACATTTGGCAGGTCCTGTGTGTATACAGTGTCCTGTGAAAATAACTACTGTTGTGGCTGATTAATAGGGAGTGAAAGCTGCAGTGCGGCTGACATTAACGGCGCTGCTGTAATTGTCACCCTATTAGTAATGCCACACGACAGCCCGCGTTTCCGTAGTTACAGCTGCCACCAGCCAAACCTTGCAAACAAAATACCAAACAGGCTCATTTATTTGTGTTACAAATTACTCCTTTCAAAACCTTCACTGAACTCATACCACTCTGAAAGCTTGAAGCCCACATGTTGGCAGTTATAGCATTCTGATACACTGAACTCTGCCCTGACACTGGATACAAACGTAGTTGATATCAAAGGTATTATTATATGTTAATCTATATAGTACAGGTTGGGTTTGCGTGACATCACAACATTCAAAACTGGAGGGCTGATAAAAAATCTGTGGTAGAAGTGTTTACCTGTCATATTACACAAGTTTAGTCCTGGTTTATGGCTAATGCCTCTGTAATTACTGGGTCTGTCCACATGAAACAAATACACTATTTTAAGACAAAATATGAATATAGTAAATCTTAACCTAATTCCTAACAACAATAATAAGCTTCATAATATGTGGATTTTTAGTTTGCAGATGTCTTTCAAAAACAATTAATTGCCCATAGAGTTTTATTGGCCTGCCAGCAGAATGAATGTGAATCTAGACTGTTAAGGATATAACTTACTTGAGATAAGAACAATTTAAAAATAGATAGCAAAGGGGGAAAAGTAGTTTACGCTGGTCTGATAGGAAAGCTGACATTAAAATAACATTAATTATAATACAATCCAGGGCCCAGAACTAAAAATACACCCCTTTCTAATCCAGATTGAGGGGCTACATCAATAGATAGAGGGCCATTGTTTTTTTTGTACTGGCTGTAGTTTAAAACATATGTTTCAGCACCTCTCGAGAAGGTGAAAAGTCGGACTAAACCTGATGTATTTTAGCCATGCTTCAATAACACAAGTATTGAGTTACTCCCAAAATGAGAACTGGAAATGGAAAGGAAGAAGTGTATTATCCCACCATTCTCTGTGAACAATCATCTGCTCTCCCTCTGGATTCCGTTTATATTTCTCTGTCATTTGTTCTTCCCATTCCCTTTCTTCTTTCTTTTCATTGTTTCCATCAGTGCATTTTTAGTGGAGGAGCTTCCGTTTTTCCCACACTCTCCCCTGTCACACTGGTGGACCGCAAAAATGCAGGACAGAGGAGAGTGTGAGGGGGCTCTGGAATTCCACATGCAGAAGGTAAACAGCCGGGCTGCCAGGAAGACACACACACACGCGGAGCAAATAGGGCACCTACACGGCAGCCCTAACCTCCTCTGCAACCCCACACTACGGAGAGCAGCCAGTCCGTGTAACACGTCAGCTTACTATCAGCAGGGGCAGGAATGAATGAAAGAAAGTCAAACAGCCAAGTCCGATAAATCCAGGCTATGGGACGAGTTAGCATCTTTCCTTCCCACTGGGGCTGCAGTTTACAGTATAGTGCTTTAAGAGGGGTGTTACACTTCTATGCTAACGCATAACATATTTAGATCCCCAAGTTACCTTTTATTGTTTTGAAGATACTGTATTTACCAAAAACAATGTATTAATGTTTTATGTGTTCTTAAGTTTCACTTTCGTTTTTGACCCTCTGAGTTTCTCCTCCCTTTGCTCTCTGAACTAAATCACCCCTCCCCTTCAGAGCGACAACCAGCGTGCATCCCCCTAATGAAACTACTGCACATTGTATCAAGTTGTCAAGTTGTGTACAGTTTTGCTATTGTGTACGGTTTTGTATCATGCTTTTGTATATTTATGGAGAATTGTCATGTGGGGAGCATAGATGACGCAGGTTTATGCACTGAGCAGCAGACAGAATCTTACGGCTAAACAAAAGGGTTCAAATAGGGCCCGGGAGATTAAACGGGATCAGACCAGATTGATATTTATATTGGTCTAAATTGTGTTCTACACATTATCAATCTGGCTGGCTCTCACTGAAAGTGATCAGAAAACATGGAGTGTCAGGACAGTTATTTGAATCTGATTGGCTGAAGGGTTACAACAGTGAAACAAACAGAAAAATTACTTTTGTTACATCCAGTTGAGAAAAAAACACATCTTTCCTGTCCACAAATGCACAAAGCTTACTTTCTGCATGTTTTTCACAAACAAAATAGTCTGTATTCACACTAAAATAGGCTGAAGTCTGCCGGTATCGCCATGTTTGTTTTGGTTAATTTGGGCACTTGGCCTTCCACACAAACCTCAATGCTGCGACATGATTGGTCCGCCCACCCAATTAACCTTACAGCGGGTGCATGCCAAGATGAATTCTCTGAGTCTGTGAACTCACAAATATCACAAAAATCCATCTTGTTGTGCAAGGGTGGGGAGAGATGACTAGATTACTGAAACATGCATGAATGACATCTAAAACCTCTTTTTTGATGAGGGAACAATATTATAACATGGTAGAAAGCTCAAAAAATGACTTGTAAAATAACACATGCACATTTCTCTTTTTATAACTGAAATTACTGTGTATATTAAAATTGATACTGCAGTACACAGTATATAGTATCGCAATATTTTCCAATATCGTGCAGCTCTACTTCCCAGTAAGTGTGAAGAGCCCATCGCGATTGCAAAACTGTTTTAAACAAACAATCAGCCCTGATCACAAAGCTCTTGTGTAATTTGGCCAGATGTGGCAGTAATAAAGTCATAAAGTAAGTGAGGGGAAAAAGCCTGTATTTCTCCCTCTCCTCAGCTTATCTCCAAACCAAACAGGATTGAAATGGAGCTGGAAGGCCGGGTCCTTGCACTGAACCGCGCTGTGTTTACGGTTCAGGCAGAAATCAGGCCTGTGATGGGGCTGTTTACGGTGCAGACAGATCGAAGCTGCCAGAGCTCCACTAGACACGCACAGTATTCTGACGCTCATTAGCACGACCTCAGCTCCCATTAGAAAACAAGGCAATTACTGTTATCTGTGAGGATGAAGTCACCTAATGTAGAAGCACAGAGCACTGTCTTCACACGTGGGATGCATTCAGTCAGTAGAATCAGTGTCAGTGCAGCGTTGGAATGAAGATACCAACTCCAACCACAAGGGGTCAGCAAACTTTTCTTTAGTCTACTCCTTCTTTTAGGATTGCCACAGCAGTTACACCGGATGCCCTCCCTATTTATGAATAGATTTACACGCAGGTGTGCAATTCAACTAAAACAACATCACCTCACAGTTGACCATAATTAATAAACTATATAACTCTTTATTTTTCATCATACTATCATATCATACAATCATATCTGAAACATACTTACTTAATGAGACGCTTTGCTGTGGTTTTCCTGCCCTGGGCTTCAGATCTGCCGCTCTTAGGAGGCTTGGGGACGTGGAGAGGACTTGCATTGGTCTGAATGAGGCTGACAGCAGTGGGGTTGGAGCGGGGATGGAGACTGGCAGGAGGACAGCTGGAGGATTTGGTAAAGGTCTGGACACTTGATGGGTTTGAAGACTGATCCTATACAAGGAAAAAGAAAGGAATGTTATAACCAAGAAAGTGAATGCTAATATGCTTGGTTACAATTAAAGTCTTTATTTAATAAAACATCCAATGCACCCCATTTTGCAACATAAAATTTGTACAATTCCAAAAAAGGAGTAAGGAAGTGCTTTTGGATTGGTTTGGTCAAAGGAACTCAAGAATGCATTAGAGTAGATATTAATGAAATGCCATCTGGTATCAAAACAAGCTTAACATTTTTTTGCAACTGGCTGCACTAAAAAAGGAAATTCTTCAGATGTTTGTTTGTTCATATAAGATCTCCAGGGAGAGGTGGGCAGGGGTAAAATGCCATTTTCTTTCTGACATAATATTTTTGGGCCACATATCACTCTTCTGAGCCTGGGGAATGCTATGCATACATTCCTTCCACATGTCATGTCTATGCTATTTTCTCTGCAGCTTTATACGGCTATCTAACAAGCTAATGGTTTTTCAGCCACAGTGTCAGCCCGTCAAAAGGCCGGCACAGTGACAGGGAATATCTGATGTAATTTCTGTGTTGATAAATGAGAAGCTGAGTTTCCAGGTTGCAAAGCCTATGGCCACAATTCAGATTTAGCGGGGCCGGGAAGGGCACCTTTCTTTGGCTGCCAGGTGGCCTGGGTCCAAGCCTGTGGAGGAGCCGCACAGTCTGCAGCCAGTAACAGGAACGAGCACTGGAGCCCCCCTCACTACATCAGTGCACACACAATACATCCACTCACATCACACTCTGGGTGACACTTCCTCTGGGCCTGCACCCTTTGATATATACATGTATCAGTTACATTTTATATTTCACATTAAACTGACACAAAGTGGAATTATATTGCAGCCATTTAAATCTATACAGTAAGTATTCATGCAAAATTTATTGTGAAACCATACAATTTCACAATGCTAGTGTAGCTCTAAGCCTAGAGTTAAGTATTGTGCAAAGATGTTCACTTTGTCCTCTACAATAACTACAAGAACTACAATAGCTTACAAACAAGTGTCAGATGAAGAGATGCATTACTGCCACTAGACCATTATTTGATTACACAATAGTAGTTGTGGCACAGTTCTGAGGTTGGCATAAAGTCAGGGATAGGAATACACTACGTACAGACTTAGTATGTTGTGGGAATGACTGAGGAGGACACACTGCCAGAGCAGAAGCACGAGGCTGGAAAACTGGGAAGGGTTTTAGGGAGGCGTCTCAGAATTGATGGGCAAGTCAGCTTTATTCTGAGTCAGCAGGGGAGAGTAAGTACACATTTTGGCAAGTGAGGGAAGAATATTACAGCTTTTACAAAGTAATAGAAAAAGGTGCACTAAGAGGTAAAGCAAGGATACATTACACATGACATTCATTTTTATCCAGCAACATGGACAAATTAATGTAGTTGGAAGGGTGTCATTCAGTGTGACCAATTATGACTGCATCCATTTTCATTCCTCTTTGATTCAGTGGAAAATGAAGAAAAACTCTCTTCCCGTAAAAGACCATCTTTCAAAGAAAATTCTATGATTTTTTAAAATCTAAAAATCCTTTAAGAGTCCTTTGTGTATTCTAATCTAGAGCAGAAAATGAATCTCATCTGTCATGGCTTGTCAGGCGTGACTAAAAGATTCTTAGTCGCCATGTAACAACTACCGCTAAATTCAGATACAAAACTGCATTTGCGTTGTAATGAGTGAGCCAAATGGAGCTCGAATCAGATATGGGAAATGCGCACTGGGGCCACTCAGAGGCAGCATTCCTTGATTACTCACTTTCCAAATGAGCTTCTCGGAGACCAGAGGCCAAACCATGTGGACCAGGGGTGAGGAGTCATGTTTAGCCTTCGAGGAATGAGCCTGTGTTTAGAGAGATGCTCTAAGTAAGCACCATTCTGTTAAGTGGCTTGGATGGAGACTCTCAGAGTAGTTTTTGTAAATGCTGACATGAAAGCATTCCTTTTTATGTGGCTTCATTTTGCTGTAGGAAATTTAGATCAAATATCAGAGCTTCTATGTGACTAAATCATTTTACCACTGATGTAAATTTACATCAGTGAAGTGTCCCAAAGACAACATCAAACAAAGAAGTATATTAAAACAAATAATAAAGCTTTGAAACACTCTTAAAAGGATTCCAGTTACATAGCATTGCCACGCACAGCTTCCAAAATCCCAGAGTAGTGATGTGGACCATTTTTCCACCCAACAATTCAAGATGAAGCTCACGTGTCAGAAATGAACTACCCAGCTGTGGTGAGCGTACGCATGAAAACTGACCTTTAGCAGCTCCTACAGTGCAGTAGACAGGAGCTTGTGGGGAAATTCCCCTTCACCAATGATAAATATAAGGCTTTTTAGTATCAGATTCAGTGTAAAGAGTGAGGAAACTCCTGTTATTCCTCTTTACCTGCTGTCTACTCTGGCTCTGCTCCAGCAGCTGCTGTGACTTGAGTCTTTGCCCCTGCAGTTGCTGGATGGCGTACTGGAGCTGGTAGCTCCCCTGTGTGGGCTGGTAGTTGTGCTGTGGGCTCACCCCTGTCACCACACTGTAGGCCCTCTGAAACGGAGAGGCCCAGGCATCCACCTCATCCTTCACCGGCCTGAGGGAGGACACAAAACACACACATTATGTTAGCATATCCATACATTTGACAAAGCCTTTAAACATTCATTTTAAAAAAGTAAAAAAAAACCCAAACAAACAATAAAACTAACAACACAAAAACTTCTATGCCACTGAAAAATATTTAAATTAAATATGTTTTAAAATACCATGCTACAAATTTAAATAAAAAAATTCAGTCTATAATGGGATTGGTACTAAAATGCTGGCCCGCGTTCACTCTCAAAGCATGCTTTTATATGGAATATTGAAATATACCACTGAATATACATGCTTTGTCAGTATAGCTTTTTCTGGAGCACTAGCACTGCTGTGACAATAAAGAGACTAGACTGCTCCCAGTGTCTTGGTGGGTAACTGTTGGCCCACAAAAGCCTCAAGTCAAAGAGCACGGATCAGTGTCCTTGTAGATGACAGGCCTGTGGTAAATGTAGACAATATAATGCATCCCACTTCAATGCCTCAACCCGGATCACTACTTTTTGACAAGTAGCACAAGTCAGTAATCGGATTATCCTTAGAAATAAGATAATAAGGTGATGACCTCTAAGCTTTTTTTTTTCCTCTGGAGGATTAAAATAATAACCCAACTCGTCATGACACACTAATATATCAGCAACTCTAGCCAAAGATAATTCTATCTTACTGTGGGGGGAAATATAACATACAAAAAGATTTTAGTATAGTTAAAATTCTTTGGGGAACCATATGACATTGAGCGTTCTTAGAAATTCTTCCCATAACATTTGCCCATTGGTCTACAGGAAAAGAAAACACTCCAGCCTTCGCAATGAATACAGTATTTTTAGACACAAAGCCCGATAAGGTCTAAAATTAGCATTCAATTAATCTTGACAAACAATGCACAGTGTAGAATACTGTGAGAGAATTACACCAGCCACAGCAGCGAGACAAAGACAGGGAGGTTGTAATCCCTATGGTCCATTCATTTACCCAGAGCCCATAATGGCACATATAAAGGATAGGGAGCACTTTCCTCAGTTTGAAAACAAAAGCTACTCTGTGAAAGTTCTACCATTGTGCGACACCAAGAGACAAAACAAGCACGGGTTCTGTTTTCTGCACTCATTTCCTTGAACTTGGCTGGAGTCTTCACACCGCGGGGACCATCACTGCTACTATTTTATTAGCGTTTGTTGGAAAACAGACCACATCTCAGGTCAGCAGCAACAATGACTCTGTAGGGAGGCAACTCAGAACACAAATAACATTATTGATAACCATGAGTCAAGTTCTAGGATGGGTTCCAGCACAGTAAAACAGAAGGCACAGTCAAGCGTTTTACATCTGATTTTCTCATTATATGTCGTGTGATAGATACTGGACTTTCATGGACTTTATAAGGGCCAGCGCAAACCCCCGCTGAGCTGAAAATGGCTGATATAACTTACAATATTGTGCTATGGCAGCGTGAGGCCAGCACATGTGCAACATCAATCTAGCTCAAGTTGAATGTGGGAAATGGATGGTGAAGAATGACATCATGCCAGACTATCTCGTCAGTGTAAACAGGGGTGTCAGGGTATTTCCAGTCATTAGTCACTGTTTGTTTACATTGAAGTGACACTAACATGACACTAGCATAAATGCCCTTTAACACCCATACAAGAAATATTACAGGCGTTGTTGGATTGCAGCAGGGAGGATGACGTTTAAATGAGGGAAATCTAATCCAGAATAGTTAGTAACTGTGTTTTTGTGAAGCAGAAAACTCACCAAAATGCATTGAGTAGTTGCATAATATGGGATACTAGTTTGAGCTGACCTGGAACTACAAATATTTTTTCAGGACAGATGGATTTAAAATGTCAGAATGTTTGCATATTTACATACCAGTATAGTAGCTAAGAAGTTAGATGTCTATAAATAATAGTTCAAACCTTGTGATAAATGACAAACTTCTGACCTCCATTGAAAAAGGCACATGTCTAAATGTGTGGGGGTCAAAAAGGCTGTTGACGTGGTATGTGTGCCACATCTTATCAGGCTGCCCCAAGGCAGAGTGTGATTTCTTTTGTTCTAAGCTGTCATCACCAGTTATACATTTACTAACAACACCAAGCAAAATAGGCATTTAAGTGCAAACAACTTTCCCACAATAATCACATTCTGCTTCTAAGTTTAGAAATATCCTGTAATTGTAGAAAAGAGAAACACAATAGGTGAACGGACTCTGCCCAAAATCAAGAATTCTCAAGAATCTTTTTTAAACTCCTTCCCATTTCCACATCTGTCTCCAATCAACAAGAATCAAAAATCTAAAGAAAGAGACACGTCAAAGCGAATTTACATGACTTTGTGCCTCATCAAAGACATTTTCACTATGGTATTTTGTAACACTGTCAGTGAATCAAATGGCTGTCAAAAAACCCTTTGAGACCGAATGTCTTTGCAAAATGTGACCAAGTAAAACAACGCTCTGTAAATCATGAAATCAGGATAAAAATACCGTTTATGTGCAGGGCTGTGGTGTGGGCAAGAAGATACAGTTGTTTGAACAGTTGCTATAAATAGACATTAAGATGAAACTATTGCACATATTAACGTTACAGACCATTTACTTTTATGGGAGTCGGGGGTAACCAAGGAAAACAGAGGCACTGGAGGTCACAGTAGAAGTGGTAGTAGTGTGAGCAGTGCAGTGTGGCTCTGGCTGTATGGCTGTCAGAACACTGGGCTAAAACAGGAGCAGCGGGCCCTGTGTTGATGCAGCATACCTGCTCAATGCGGGCAGCAGAACTTCAAAGCGCCGTGCTCCTCTTTCAAACCCATCACACTTCACCCCTGTGGTCGCTAAAGAGCCAGGGAGCTTAACAGTTTCAGCATGTTTGGCACTGCGCACCATCCCCAGTGTAAAACAGGAGACTCAGGAAGTGTACTCAGAAATAATAGTGTAAAGGCTAAATGAAAGTCATTTATCACTATATTGTATAAGGACATCTCATTACACTGAGACATTTTTATGTAGTGTAACACAACAGATAAAGGGCCAATACTGGTGCAGTGTGTTTTTAGGGAGGTTATAAGAACTTTTCCAGCTAAAGTTACTGATCTGCTTCCCTCCCTAAATTCACTCCCATGAACACTGGCATGTGAATATGCAATAGAAATGTATCCCAGATATAAAAAAGAAAAGGTGAAGAAATAAATATACTACACAGATGTTTGCAGATGATTAAGTAATGCAGAGGAAATCATACAATTTACAGCAATGAAACGTCTATCAAAGTACTTGTGAATGGATACCTCCTGTATTTATCTACTGTCAAATTTAAGAGGAAGTAAAAATATTAGAAAAATTATGGACCCTATTAAATAAGTGTTTCTTGGAGGGTGGAAATAAAAACAGTTTAAAAACAAAAAGCCAGACATTCCTGGAATTCCCTGACAGCTTAACACACAAGAAACGGACGGACTGGAAAAACAAAGTGTGAGATCAGGGGCCGGCGGTCTGCAGCGTCACTGTCCCATCCACATCAAAACTCAAATACCAAAATGAGTGGCGCTAAAAAGGATGCTTAACTTGACTTAATAAGGGCAATGCAACCACACTGTGACCACTGATTTACAAGGGGAATTCTCAGCCATCTCACGAAAATGTACATTACATTATCTTTACATTACATCTTGAAAAACAATAATCTCATATTCTGGTGGCCTCATTTATCTGAAAAGCATTTCTCATTGTATGCATGCTGTTTTTCCTTTCCTTGCTTTGAAACTGTTTTACACCTCTCCCCTTGCTGTCTCAAACAAGGGCAAATAAATAATGCCATTCTGTGAAAACGAGAAGTTTGTCCACAAATAGACCAGCTTCTAACAAAATTTGAATATGAACTATACTGACGAATCATATTTTTTATATATATATATGTATATATGTATGTATGTATGTATATATGTATGTATGTATGTATGTATATATTGCATACCTCTTGTTGGAGTAGAGTTCTGGTCTAGAGTGGAGGGCCCTCACGGGTACTGGGGTTGGAGCTGTAGTGTGCCAGGCTTTTGGAGTGAGCGTCAAACTGCCTTTCCTCAGCATGTTGTTGGCAAGGTTGAGATTGCTCAGCTGGGAAAAGAAAAAATTTAATAAATGAAAATCTACTACTTTATAAAATGCAAAACAAACCTCGAATTGCCATCTTTGCCAAATCCTATAATTCAACTACACAATTAAGGTCGGACCCAAACCCAAAAGCAAATGGGTTTTTTAAAGTTGTACTATGTGACTTTTCTGGTGGGGGGTCCGCTACCTGCTTGTCTCCAAGAAGATGTTATTACTTTGTGTGCCATGTTCCACAGTATGGCATTAAAACTTCTCTATTTTTGCATTTATTCAATTGTCTGCCGAATTATACAATGAAAAGATGTATTCTTACTGTGAACAGACCTAATCTGTAACTTGACAATAGTTTACCACCATACTGTGGAACATTCTAAGCCAAGCAATATCATCTCCATGGAAACAAGCAGGTGGCAGACCCTCCTCCATTTAATATACATGAAGATGAGAAGGCAAACATGGCTTATTAATAGGGGTGTAACGATCCAAGTCTCACGATACAATATTGTCGTGTTATGAACCTCGCGGTACGATATTTATTGTGATATTGTGGGAAAGCTCACAATATAGTGGGGAGGCTCATGATTATGAATGTAACAATATCCAAATCTCTCGGAAGGATATTTTCACGATATACATCTCATGGTACGTTATTTACTGCAATATTTTGTGGAGGCTAACAAAACTGTTAATATGCTTTTACCTCTTAAAATGCCTTAACAAGACTAAATCCAAAGAACTAAGACTTAAAAGTGCTTAGAACTATTATTTCTTCATGTAGTCTACACTGAAATGGAGCAAAGGATCATGGTCTATGTGGCTCCCTCTGTCTTTTTTTAGCTATTGCTGCATCATAACTCTTAATTTACGCAAAGAGACTTGTAATTTGATATATTGTGATCCAGGATCCAGGATATTATTGTGAGAACTTTGACGATACAATATCAATACATTTTTTTACATCCCTACTTATTAATGCAGTCATGAATGGTAGTGAACAACAAATCAATGGGGGTTTACTTTCTTAAAATAAAATATCTGAAGGAGGAATGTTTGAATTAATGTATATGGAAAATGTGAAGTCGTGTACCTTAATGTAAGTGCTATTTTACTCCTATGGCACAAAGAGTTGTAAAGTCTATCCCTACGTGAACCATTAATCTCTTCCTGTATTTGACAATGTTGTGGAATGTACACAAAGAACATGGCACAGCTAGCCTCCGCTTACTCAGCACTAAATCCAGGGACCCCCTTTCAGCCTGTATCACTAACAGGATCGTTCCATGTTTACAGCCTCCATCACCAGGAAGTGTTCTGAACATGACAATCAGGCTGCTAAAGTGCTAATGCATGTTTAATGATTAATGGATGCTACGCTAGCTTTCCTGTCCACTGAAATCAAATGTTACAACTTTAGGTATTTTATTTACTGCAGTGTAGGTGGTACTGTCAGACATTATTCAAGAGCACTTTCTGTTTGTGTATATATTAGCTAGCATGAGAGTGAGTAATTACCCAACCCGTAGAGGTCATCCAGTGAATCAGGGTGCTGTGTATGTTTACAGTGCTCTCCGTTTAGTCCACAAAGTGATTTAATGACTGCTAATCCGCGCCTTGGAAAAAAACCCAAAATGTACTCGGAGGCCTTTGAGAGCAAACACTGAAGCATTTCTTTCTGGTGCCATTAGAAATACACTTCGGAGCTGTGAGATAGACAGGATAATGTACAGGCAAAGGGGAAGCTATAAAATTCTGTGTGGTCCTGTGCCATCACACAAAACAACACTCCAGACCAAGATGAGAGGAGAGGCTACAGAGGGCTCCCTGCAGTGTGCGATACACCCTTGGGCTTTAGAGGAAAAGGTAGTAATGCAGCCCATGTACTGCCACTCCCAGACACAGTGTAATCATTTGCCACATTCCACTATTTATAAGCATCAATTACCACTAAAAAAGAAGGTGCTTGTAAAGTATCAACCAAAATCACCCCCCCATGAAGCATCTCCTGATGAGACCGCACAAGGAGTGTAGTACTGGCTTAGCTCACAACTCCCCCGGCCAGGTTCAAAACACAGGTCTGTCCCAGTGGCTGCAAATACGGCTAAGGTTAATCATTAACCACATCATACCTCTTGCCTCTTGTTGTTCAGTGATTCAGATGCCCTTCCTGATACAAGTCTTTCAGTTTGTCAGCTTGAAACCACCACATAGTAGACAACCTCGTAGCTCTTTGGTGACAGAAATGCAAAATAGATCTATGTAATTTTTTCAGTACCGATAGTCAAATGAGCATCTAGATTTGATACTTTTGATTAATATCTGTGTATAATTTTTGACAACCCTAATGTCTATGTGCATGCTTACTTGAACAAAACAATAACATGAGTTGCAGTAGTCAAGATAATTTTAAGAAGTAAGAATTTATATAGCATAACAGGCTGTTTCTCCAGCTTTACTGTTAATACATTTACTTGAAAACTTAGTGTATCATTTTACATTGGCCTTCAAATCCCCCAAAATGTATTACAGCTCCTTCGTTTTCCCAAGTACCTGCCCTAATCTGCTGCTGTGCTCCTTGCTGAAGAAAGAACACGTAGTATGAGGGAGCAGACCCTGTGGCTCCAACATATCTGCTGAATGAATGCGCAGCTAAACGCCGCCAATCAGCACAGGGTCAGAGCCAGGTTTGTGCATCGACAAAGACTAAGGCAACTATCAGACCTCACAGTGAGGGCCTACTGCACAGGGGCCAGATCCACGTTCCTAACAGAGCATTACACAGATCACTTTACAGTTGCTTAATAAGCCATTACTCATGAGCACAACTTCCTGCCCCGGGTGGGAGTTGCTGTTGGCTGGAGGGGAGCCTTCTCGGCAGTTTGGACTCACATGTTGTGTCAGCAGGTTGATGTGGTTGGAGCTGGCATACTGGCGTACCACCTGCTTATCGGCCAGTCTCTGCAGAGCGCTGATGAAGGCCTGCTGGTTGGACTGGGCCTGGGCTGACAGGGCGTTTAGTTCCTTAAAGGTGCCCACTGAGTTAGACTTGAGCTTACTGGAACTACTCCTCCATACCACTGAAAAGAGCAGAGCATTAGAGCTTTTGTAGCATATGAATCAAATGTATCAGTGAGTAGTGTATGATTGTGTAAGTTATTGATACTTTGCAGTTGCTGTCATCAACATTCCCTGTGGGTGTGATGCTAACTTTATGAACTGCTCTGTTTGTGGCTTTATTAGACTTCAATTTAGGCTTTAATTTAACAGAATCTGACCAAAAACTGACTTAAGTTAGAACAGGTGAGCTGATTTTGTGCTGTTAAACAAGTCCTTCACAAAAAACTGTTACTTAGTCACTCACATTCTAACCAGTAACTTGCCATGGAGGCACAGCCTCTCCTGCTTGTCTCCAGGAAGATTTAGAAGTTTAATACTATACTATGGAACATTCCAGGAAATGCCACAACATCTCTATTGAGTAAACAGGAAGTGGATCCTCCATTGGAAAAGTTACATAGTACACCTTTAAGTAGTGGCTTTCCTCTTTCAGGAAACTTTACAAAGTGCTGTGAAAATGGTTCCTGCCTTTGGTCAACATCACCTCCTCTGACACCTTCAGGTCTCTTTCTCCCTGGCTTACTCAGACTGTATTCTAATAAACCAAAATGTTGCCTGTCTGTGACCTCCGCAAGACCTGCCAATAATGTGACCCAGGTTAATGACTGTGTGAATAGCTTCGCCCTGAAAGTTTTTTGGCAATTCAACTCCCATATTTTAAATCCTGAGGATCTAATTCTAAAAGGCTTTAAAGAATTACAACCATGATGCTTTATTTAGCATGAAAGAGCTGCACGCAGTTGTATCTAAACCCCTAATTAACTTGGTGTTTATTAATTAGAGCGTGTCAGTCTCTGCACAGTGTTTGTGGTCATTAGTGAAGTATGCAAGTTAATTATTACAACAGACTTTTAAGGTCAATAGCGTTCATTCATTAATTTGTGTTGTTGACACTAACATGATACTCACACGCCAGGACTGAATATTTTACCTTGGCCTGCAGAGGTGGGCCTGGAGAGCTTCTGGCTGTAGATATGAGTGGCACTGGGGATGGAGGAGGTGGACATAGGCGAGGTGAATGAGGTTACTCTCCTTAGACCCTGGGTTGATGGTCTAGTCGTAGCAGCTGTCCACACTCTCGGCTGCGTGAGCACAGGTGAGGAGCTATATTCGGGAGGGTCAGTGTCGGCCTGACAGAATTGCGACTTGGCCAGAGACTGGGTGTAGGAGGGGGGCTGCTGGGGAGGAGGCGGAGGAGGACAGTGGAGGGGCAGGGTGGATGATGGGTGGACAAAGGTGCAGTCTAAAGTTGCAGGGAAGTTGGAGCGGTGCTGCGAAGCCTGGACGTCTGGCTGGGTGTTATTCCCACACTTGGCTGCCGCACATTGATCTGAAAGCTGATTTACAGAAACCTTGGTGTCTGGGTCACTGCTGACTTTTCCTGCTGAGAGTGAGGACTCAGAAGTGCTGGAATCGTCTTTGGACAAAGGCTGAGCTATTGAAAGAAGAAAAATAAAACCAGAAGTTCTTTATCATCCGTTTGCCATTCCCCAGCTCTGACACACTCTTGTTTTCCCAAAGAGAGTGCTAATTGTTTGTAGTTTGACCTCTGCTTCACCCTATGACACTCAGGGGTTTCCATTCACACTAAATCGTATAATAAAACATTTAAAAATAACACTAAAAGAAAAAAAAGATCATAATACTGACAAGGCTTACTTCTTGAATCACCACAGTTGCCTGGCTCTCCCGAAACATTCTGGAACATTTCTGTAGACATGTCTTTGCTTAGGCTGCAAACGTTAGATCCAAGAAAGATGGTTGCTGATTTATTCTTTTGTGTGTAGAACGTCAATACTTCTTCCAGATCATTTTCGCTATTAGGAAAAAAACACACAATAAAAAATATCTCTTAAATCTACTCCCTTTTATACCAAAGGATAGTAGTAGTAGTAGTAAAAGTACTGTGGTTGCCAACCTCGCTGCACCGATGTACTCTTGAAATACAATGTCGTTAATGCGGCGCTCCTCTTTACTACCTTCTTGTTTTTTCACCATATGATCTGTTTCCTGTCAAGATAAAGCGTGTATAAGAACCACCACCACCTCCACCACAGTGTTTGCATTATAGTCTGCAACAGTATGCTGGTGTTAAAGCAGGTCTGAGAATGGGCACCTTGTTGTAATGGTGAATGAACTCCCCAAGCTGCTGGGACAGGATGCGTCTGCGGTCTTGAAGTGGGAGCTGGCGACTGGGCAAACCCACCTTTATGTCCTGCTGAAGGTTACTGGCAGCTTTCTTTAGGAATCGTATCACCAATTCCTGTGTAGACATCAACATACAAGTCGATTGTTTGGTTATCGTCTCCCTGATTCGCTGATAAATGCTTTTTTTCTGTGAGTTATCACTGAACACAAGTCTACTGTGTGTTTCAGTGTAACCCTAACCGTAACCAAATCAAGATTCTTTCACAAATGCTTTTTCTTAAGTAATAAAATATGTACAAATGTATTCCAATTCACCAATGAGTATTTTACACACACTCCAACCACATTTTTCTAGTGTGGTTTGTGCACATTTCAACCATAGCCAAGGTACAGATGAGTAACAAAATCAGAAGGGAAAAACTGGCATCAATACATGAAAAGGACATCATTTTTCCAGCACATTCTACCTCATGTCCATTATACAACAAAAAAGCAGATTTTAAAAATGGTTACAGTAATATGGTACCATTTGGTCATTGTCCTTGTCTGGCCAAGCTGGAATGGTGTTGGCTCTGCTCTCAGCCAAAAGTCTTTGCTGGACTCGATGGAGGTAGGAAGAAAAAGCCAGTCGGGCCTGTACTTTACTTGTAAAATGAAGCATAAGAAAGAGAATATGATTACAACATAGATATGCAAGTTAAAAATAATGGCATAGTAAAAGCAAACACAGAATAAACAAAGGTATACAGTAATCTTTGGTGGTTTTGTAGAGAACTGACAATGAAGAATGCTGTGTGGCGTTCAAAGCTAGGATGCAGGTGTTACACCAGCCAGAACAATCACCCTCATTCTTTCACCTAATATTTCACCCATAAAAACAGGGGTGACTTTAAGACAGCAGCTCAACAAAATAGCGTATCTTGTCCTCCACACATCTCAATATGATGAAATGTCATTGTGGTATTTATAGCAGAGCATGCAACAATAATCATACTGTTGAATTTATGTTTTGGAAGAACATGTCAAATACAAAGAATAATGTGTCACTTAAATATGGCAGAAGCTGTTTTATGTAAAGAATTCAGTAAAAAACTCAGTTTTTCTTCAGCTGTATGTATTATGGTGGTTAAAATGCACAACACGTCCAAAGTAAAGTGTAAAACTGAAAGGAGAATAGAGAACTGCCAGTATGTGGGCCCGCCCAGAGTGCTCACTGACCTCAGGTCCCAGCCCTGCTGAAGGATGTGAAGCAGGTTGACTCTGGGTCTGCCGTCCCACGTTGCTGCCTCTGAGCTGGACACTGCTTTACTGTGGAGAGCGTCCAACGGCAGCGCTGTGACCACCTGACCTCTGTACTCTCCCACCATGTGTGCGCTTGGCTCACACTGCCCATTCACCTCGCCTCCCTCCTGACTGCTGCTTTCTGTTGGAAAGCCCTTGGATTCCTTCCCTGAGGTACGCAGCATTGCAATAAAAGGTAAATGTCTGTTGACTCACTAACATTTTGAGCACATGAGTCAAAAACTGAGGCATTTACTGTTGATAGAGTAAATGAAGTCACTCAGAGTCATAACTGGCTAACCTCAACATGACATGGGAGAGCTATTTATTGCAACCAACAGCAAACGAGTAAAAAGGTTATTCCTCTAAGTTAGAGCCTTTTTCGACTTGGGATGAAAAGTGGAGTGGTTTCCTACCAGATTTCCTGTTGGACGAGTGGTGAGAGCGGTGGTGCAGGTGTCTCTTACGAGCCTCCAGAGACTGTAGCTTCCTCTCGTACTGCACCACATGAGAACTGCACAGCACATCCACGTGCAGCTGCACAGTCCTGAGAGACACAACATCAATGTCAACACAATGCTCATAAAACTAGCTAAAATGACTTATTACTTTTTCATTAGCTATTACGGCACTGAGCAGTGGATGGCCATTTTTTTACTGAAACAAAAGAAATTGTAAACAGTGAATACTTTACTCGGAGAAGAGTCCCATAAACTACTATGTAATATGGAAAGTTCACATTATAAAGAGACTGAGGTGAAATGGACTCCAGTTTCCTGTCACTCTCTAATAAGGAGTAAAATGACATAAATAAAATCATAAAACAGTGGCAAAAAGGCAAATCTAAAGACATTTTTCCCTTCTGTCAACAAGCTGAATGCCACAAAGCCACACAGACATTGGGTGCAAGCTGGAAAAGTTGACAGTGCAACATCTTCTCAGCTGTTCCTCTTACCTATCCAGTCAAGAACCAGACAAACGCCACATCAGAATCCAACCTTTTCCACAAACTGATGTCGAGATTTATTTCCCAATCCTGACCACACTGGAAACGCTTACCTTCCATGGAAAAGTCTGTGCGCCAACATGGAGTTCAGTGATGTCTTGGACTCCAGATATCCACTGAAAAGTGCAGATAATACGAAAATTACAATAGCTATAAAGTCATAGGCTCCAATATGTCCCCACCTCTTATTTTACAGCAAATGTGTTAAAATGAGCTATTGGAGATTCAGCTACTTGGGAAGCAGCCACTTCTAAATGTGTCTATAATTCCCTATACTAGTTTGTGGTAAAATGCTACTCTCTCAAACATGGATTGAATCAAGCATAACAATATTATTACATCAAACTATAACACACGTAATTCTTTAAAAGCAGCTTGAATAAAACCGGTCTAGTAATATTATTGTAAACTAATTGTGTCCAAATATGACCCTATATTGATACTTTGCAGTGACATGATGTTGGTGGCTTTACATGCATGTCTATGGCAGAATATTTAGCAATTACCATGGTGAAACAATGCAAACACAAAAAAACTTTTAAAACTCAAGAAAAAAATACAAAATGGATTTGTCCTGTTTAAGTGTTTGATTGAAGCCAGTTCGTTATGGTCAGATTGCATTTAAACAAACCTCAGATTCAAGTCTAACTAAAGTAAGAGAGCTTCTGTACTGTTAGCATTACACCCCCAGGGAGGGTGCAACACAGCAGTTGACAGTCTGACATTATTATTACATGCTTTTTTGTGTAAGTTATTGGCTGTAATTTTCTGTTTCAATTTAGTATTCTTGACCTGTCAATGCAAGCCTGCACAGACTGTAACCTAGTTTATCAAACAGGCCATAATTTTGTCTCATATGATTTGAGAAAAAAAAAGCACATTATTAAGACAAGCACCTAGCACGCGCATAACAAACCTGTAGAGCTCCCACGTTTCAGCAGTGGGGAAGATTCTTATGAACCCTCCACGTCTCTCATATTCCTCTTTTATTCTCCTCAGCACTCTGACCTGTAGATGACACATTTAGTAAGTTATATGTCTTTACAAAGCAGGTTGGAGTTTTTTATTTTATGAATGGGACCTCACCTCTTCAGCTGTAAGATTCAAAGTGCTGTCACTTTGGCCTTTTAGCCCGTCTGTTTCAGAGTTACTGGACAATAAATGTCTCTGTCGCTGCATGAGGTCAGAAGGGATCCAGTGTTATTCATGACTACAGGCTATTGCTAAAAGTCAGTATCAGTTTACAACACAATTGCACACCAGACTTTAAAGGTGCACTGCGCAACTTTTCAGGTAGAGGGTCTGCTACCTGCTTGTCTTCATGTGGATGTTATTGTTGTTCTCTGAAATGTTCCAGGGTATGACATTAAACGTATCTGTCTAGCATTTATTCATTTCAAGTGTGTAATAATTCCTTCTGGGAATAGGGGTGATTCGCCACAGATCTGAATTGTAATATATCGTAGTGCCGTAACCTGCTTGTCTCCCTCATGATAGATTTATTTATCTATACTGTGGAACATTCTAGACAAAGCAATAATGATTCCATGGAGACAAGCAGGTGGAAATATGACACAGAGCACCTTTAACGTATAACAGATTTGACTTTGTTTGGTGGAACAGCACATGTGGTAAATATTTATCATAGTGGTATTTTGTCAAGAAAAGTAAAAAAGAAAAAAAAAGATGAATAACACAGAAAGTAGAGCTGAGGATTCCAAAAAGCAGGGACAATTTCTGCGCAAGAAATACATTTCTCTGATAATTTGAACATTGAGTTAAATTAGACAAACTGACCCTTATTCCAGCTGTATATGTCACATCTGCTGCCCATGTCCAACAATAGGGGTGTGCAAAAATATCGAAATATCGTATCATTTGTGATGATACAGTATCGATACTGTGGGCTGATGTATCGATATATCACCAAGAGTGTTTATTTAATATATTTTACTAAATTTGTTGGGTACAGCGCTACAGTTTTGTTGTTTGTTTAATGGAAGGAAACTCGTTTATGCGTCACATTCGAGATTTTTCACTGTTTTGAGGATTAAAATGGGCATGTTTCATATTCACTTTGCACAAGTGGTTTAACAAAGGCTTTTAGTATCACAGCCATGATTTAGCCTTTATTTTTTATTGAACAATATCAAACCACTTTGAAATATATTGTATCAAATCGAAAGTGCACTGTATCGAGATATGTATCGTGTTGTGGACTATGTATCGAGATATGTATCGTATCGGCAACTTCTTAATGATACCCAGCCCTATCCAACAAGGAAGAAATATTGTATAAAATTACCAAATAATTTGCCAAACGAGACAAAACTGTGCAATATTTTCAGTATAAATCATTAATATAATCATGGTTTTTGATTCAGCCCATACAATCCAGAATAGTCAGGGAGAATTAGGCGTTCAACACTTCTCCCTGTCACTTAAATCACATTTTTTTTAGCTATGCGTAGCTTTTCTGGCTGTATCCTCATTTTATATATGACCAGCCTGTGTGATTGGCAGCTCTGGCATGCAGGTTGGAACTGAGACCAGACGGCAGGGCACAATCCCACAGGATCACATGCAGAATTTGTCATAAAAATAGCAGGGGGATTACATTTAATTTGTCTCACACAGCCAGGGGGGGCAACCAGAGCCAAAAAGTGACATGGTCTAATCCGGCTAAAAAAGACCTCATCTGTTTGGTCTAATCACAGTGGGGAGAAAGTACAGGTCTTCTCGTTGCCCTGCTCAGCCCACTGACTTTAGGAGACTTTGGATTCTTAAGAAGTGGTGCATTGCAGTAGTTTTAAGCACTTGCTTCTAAAAGCCACTTTGCTAATGTAATGAAGTGCCTATTCAATATACCATTAGGAATCGATATCAAGCGGCTGTCATTCTGAAAAATAGCAAAGCGGCATAATGAAATGAGCAAAGAGAGGCAATTTCTTACCAGCAGACATCACGAGGTTTGCAAAGGGAAAGACAAAGATGAATTAATATGAATGACTCAGAGGAACTTACCACTACAGAGTGTGCAGTAGTTTTCTGTGGTCTCTAAGAAGCAGTGAACACAGTGAGCAGTGGTCAGCAGTGAAGTGATATAGTGTGTTTGTGGAGGCTAGACAAACTATAATCAAACATAGCTAAATCATTTTAAAAATCGGATTACAGACCAATACATTATAACATTGTGGCTATTTTCATAATATAATTGTGCTCTCAGTCTCACAGAAGAAAACCAACCAAATGGCATAACATTAAAACATAGGATTATTACAGACTATATAAAAAGTCACACAATGTAAAGCTGCACAAACTGCGTCATTCAGACAGTGTAATTAAATTAGCTCTTGTTAAGCATGATTTTTCCAGAGAAGTCACTGAATGTGGTTCTCTGAGAGTATGCAGCAGAGCCCAAGCCCAGGGCAGGGGCATCACTGGTTCACAGGGTAAATGAGTGCAGCTCGTGGTTCTTGGCTGTGCATGTTGAGTACCTGTGCTTGTGGAGCCAGATGCTTCAGGCTGGAGTCCAGTGTGACCCGCTCAGCGCGGGGTTGTCTGGAAAGGGGGTCCTGGCACACCAAGCCTACACAAAACCACAACCATGGAGAGAGTTATTGTAGTGACAAAAGCTTTAAAATATGATAGTCATTCACATTCTTTCAAGTATTGAATGAAAGGCAAATTGTGTGTAAGAGGTCAAAATAAAGTTACAATACTTTACATTGTACTTTTAACACATGCTCTTTATTGTATAACTACTTAGAGGAATGTAAAGTGCGAACACCTGTGATTATTCTCAACAGACATGGGTAAATGCTTGTCATTCCAATAGCCTTTCCCATCTCATTGAACTCGTGCTGAAAGTTAATGTCACTTGAATGTTTACGGTACAACTTGCATCCTCTCTCTGGCTGAATTACACCTATTGACAGCTTGGAGCTCCAGGCTATTTATACTGCCTCATCCAAGCCGTCAGGTAAGAATCAGTCTGCTGCCATGCCTTGCCTAAACACTGCAATTATGAGAAACATGGGTGACACAGAGCCGGCAGCTACACACGGGCGGAAAGTGAATGCTAATGGAATGCTGTCATTAGTTACAGCTCTGGGATGGGACCCAAGTGTTATCAGCCAACAACCACTTTGTTTGTTTGCTACATAATAGATGTGCAATGTTTTACATGCCACTGCTCATTTTCTGTGAGACCTGCTGTAACGTCTCAGTCCAAAGATAACCTGCATTTCATTAATAATAGATTGATGAGCCAAGAACAGTTTAAACCTGGTGAGCGTGGACATTATGAACTTATGCAGGCACAATGCGTACACATTCACTTAAAGTCACTTGGCCAGAAAAAATCTAAATGTCATTACAATTTTAGGGATAGAAGAGGATGCACTTGGAAGTCAAGAGGTGATGGATGAGTCAGCTTGTTCGGAGGCTGCAGTATTCAGGGCATGTAGTAGTTATTTATAAGTTGTAATGTCCATTATTAGGGCTGTGCAAGTACACAAATTTTAATGGATATAGAGTCAGCAGTGAAGTGATATAGTGTGTTTGTGGAGGCTAGACAAACTATAATCAAACATAGCTAAATCATTTTAAAAATCGCATTACAGACCAATACATTATAACATTGTGTCATTTCTAATCAGGATCAATGATCAGCTTAGGACTTTTTATCCAGGAAGTCTATAACCAGTCCTCTGTCAGTAAAAGCATGTGGTTTGTAGCAGAGTTCAGAGGTCAGATACTTGACTATTTTTTGTGTTGACTGGCAATTATTAAAATTATGCATTATTTAAAGGCCCCATATTACACAGATCCATGTTGTTTCACATTAAAAACATACTTAGAGTTCTGTTTTTTTTCATTCACACATGTTTAACAGACAAATCCTGCATATTTAGGATTCTCATATTGAGTTCTTCACTTGAACAGAAAACACTGTTCCATCTTGTGATGTCATGTGGTAATGCAGGGAATACTCCACTGTGTTTTTAAACACCATACTCATGATTTTAGTGAAGGTTCACTACAATAATTTGGATAATTTCAGGCCTGGAATTGCCAATCTCTATTGAACCAAACGTAAAAAGTAGGTTTTCAAGTAAACAACTTGAGAACTACAGCTTCATGACATCACAAGGTGGAACAGAGCATTTTGAGTTTTACAGATGTAGACAGACTAATAATGCAGGATTACCTAAACAAGTGTGAAACAAAACACAACTCCAGATATGTTTTGGTGATTTGATTCATATCTTGCAAGCATATATCTGAAATATATGGTAATGTTGTTTCTCAGACCATTTAATTTAAGCGCTTTTTTGTGTGAGAGCTGAACAATTAACAAGACAGAGGCCAAAGCACAGACATGCCATTCCTTGCCACAAACACTGTTATGTAAACAGTCAGTGCTCATCTTGCTTAAGGCTACATATTTTTACTCTTCAATCCAGTCAAGATCAAATATACATACATGTTAGAATTTGAAGAGAGTTGTAAGAAAAATAATATCCTATGTAACATAAATCAAATATGTTATGGCAAAGAGTAACAGTGCTGCACACATTTAATGGTAAATGGTCACATTTTTCTATAGCGCTTTTCCACCTTCAAGGCACTCAAAGCGCTTTACAACAAGGAACCACTCACCCATTCACACACACATTCATACACCAGTGTACGCAGACACTGACAATTTAGTGATTGTTTCCGTCAGTTTCATGAATACAAACAGGTATCAGCTTACACTCACCCACAAGTGAAAACATGTCTGCAATCATGCTGGCCTTTATCTTCAGATCCAGAGGCGCATCACTGCAAATAAAAGCGGAAAGTATCCCAGGGCAAAGGTAAGGGCATTTTCAATGGACACAATTTAAACAAAGTACAAAAACACTGTTTTTATTAGACATGTACAACTGATTAAAATTTAATAGAGATCAGTCATTCGTAATTGTTTGTCAATTATCTGCTTGTTTTTTATTGAGGGATCTACAGTCAATCCTCTGCCAGTGCATGTGGTTTGGAGCAAAGTTCAGACTTTAGTGGAAGAAATTGGACAACTATGTTAAATACCATTGATTAACATTTAAAATCAACACTGAAAGCCAATTTTACAAATACAATCTAACACAAAATCAAGATGGCAAAAAAATTTATCAAATTTTTTCTGCATTCAGCAGTGACATTTAAAGCTGATCATTTAAAAGTCCTATAGTGGAGTGTTTTCTGTTTGTGAAAAGTATTGTGTGTGAAACGAAACACAACTTCAGGTATGTTTTTGATGAAGAAACAAGATTATAACATAGAAACATCAGAAAATAGCATAAAATGGGCCCTTTAAAATATAGAAAATTAATAACAGGACATACCATGCCAGCGAGGGGGAAAGGTTGACTTCTAATAACCATGGTTTGAGTTTGGCATCAATAAGGACGTCAAAGCCATACAGTTCTACAAAAAACAGAAAAATCATTAAAGCTATTAAGGCATGTAAATTCAATCTTGATTTCTAATAGTAATAAAATTGATACTTGATATTGATACCACATTGACAATAAAATAAAAAGTCATTTTCAACACTAAATACTAATAATACTTGTTATTTCGTTCTGATAAACTCAAACCATTCTAAATAATTCAGAAAAGTTCAAAATATATACTTTTTTATTATCTTTTTTTTTTGTTTCAGTGCTCCATCAAATTAGTTTCAATACTAGTTTCAGTTACAATTAGTGTCTGATTTTCGATACTTCTGACAACCCAATGCATGGGACTTAACAGCATGGCCAGAACCATCGGGCTCTTGATTACATGCATGTTTTGGAATCATTTGCTCACAAAGACGCATTCACTCATGTCTGCTACTAAGAGATTGGTCCCCTTACATCAGCTAACTATACACACATTTCATCTGTCATGGAGCTGCTTGTGTAACACTGGAGATCAAAAACCAACTCTGTCGCTGAATCATTCAGACACCCAGTTTGTAATGTTGTCATGACTCTGGGGTTAGGCATTCTGCAGGTTGTCACTTCATATTAGCATAAAAGTAGTGATATAATGGCAACCAGTACAAATAGTTTCACCACCACAGAAATTAACTTCATAAGAAATTTTAAAAATTATTAGACTATAACTCAGAAATGGGTGGCAAAGAGGTTACAAAATAGTTTGAGACTGAATGACAAAACATGGATGCGTGATAAAGGGATGGCTCCTGGTTAGTCGTGTGGTTAATAAAGACAGCAGATCTCTGGGGAGTGACACCCAAAGGCGAGAAGCCACAACTTTTTACTGGGACGGGGCAAACCCAGCTATAGAGGCTCCTAAAGACACTTCAAAAGGACAGACTGTGTTGGGAATAGGCGGGGGGTGGGAACTTCCAAAGCCGCCATAACCAGAGCTGTTTGTTCAAGCGTCGCAGGTCAATGCCAGAGTTAAGTACACAAAAGCCAGTGTGACTTCAAGCGATGCCCTGATGCTGCACTTGTTTAAATCGTGTTGAGAAAATTGTAGTGGATGTGGATAAAAGTTAGCACAGCCTTTTGCAAGTAATTTCAAGTTATTGTACTAGTATCAGTTTTAGACATTGCCTTGTATCTTTTATTAAACTAAGACCATCTGCTACAACTTTCAGTTCTCAAAATGGCAGTTTCAAAATTTTAATCATTCCAGAACTCTGACGGAAATGATTTGTTATATGTTACTTGTTGTTGTTTTAGCAGATAATTATTCTATTTTATTAATAGGTATGTAATGATATCCAAATCTCACGGTACAATATTTTCAGATATACATCTCACAGTACGATATTTATTGAAATATTTTGTGGAGGCTAACAAAATTGTGAATATGTTATTTTTTCCTCTTAAAATGCCTTGACAAGAACTAAGATTTAAAAGTGCTTAGAACTGCTGTTTCTTCATGTAATTTGCACCAAAACACAGCAAAGGATCAGTTTTTTTTTAGCTATTACTGCACCATAACATTGAATTTAATCAAAGAAACTTGTGACTCGATATATTGTGATGACCCATGACATTATTGTGAGACCTTTGATGATACAATATCACAATATTTTGGTTATTGTTACACCCCTACCTATTAATGATCATGCAATTTAAGATACACTTTTCAGATGGTGGGTTCACCACTTGCTTGTCTCATTAGAGATGTTACTGCTTTGGCCAATATGTTCCACAGTTTGGTAAGACAGTTTTCTATAGTCACAGTAGGGTTGTCAAAAGTATTGAAAATCAGATACTAATCAATACTAAAACTAGTATCAAAACTAGATACTCGTTTGAGCAGGTATCAGTAATAAACAAGTCACATTCACAGGACAGAAATTAACCTTTCCTGAATAGCTTTAGAATCATCTTGAGCTGTATCAGAACAAGTATGAGAGCGCACACAGACTAGTATATGCCCATGGACCACTAGTACCCAAAAAATGCTACAGGTCTCCATGAACAGTTGATAGTTAAAGGGCAGTTAAAATACAATCAATTCAATCATTGTGTGTCCTTAGGCAAGACACTTCACCCACATTGCCTAGTATGAATGTGGTGTGTGCGGGAGTGATGGTGGTGGTCGGAGGGACTGTTGCTGCCGATTGGCATGGCAGCCGCGCTTCTGTCAGTCTGCCCCAGGGCAGCTGTTGCTACAACAGTAGCTTACCATCACCAGGTATAGAGTGAATGAGTGAATGAATAATGCTGAATGTAATGCTCTGTAAAGTGTCTTTGTGGCAAAAAAATGTCTGTGAAAAGCGCTATATAGATAAAGACTTACTTACTAAATAAAGACTTACTAGAACTGATACCTGGACAACTGAGGGATTACACAGATAACGCCACATAGTAATATAAAAGCTAGTATTGTGACAATACTACTCCACAATGATGATCAGGAGACACCACCAGGCCAGGTTACAGGTGGAATTTGTGGAGACATGACCCTGCTCACAGTTAGAATGCCTCTTTTCCAAGGTGCTTTTACACCTATTATTGAAAAAAATGCAAGATAGAAATGTTAATGTCATACTGTGGAAGATCACAGGTAAGAAAATCACATCTCCATGGGGACAGACAAATTACATATTGACCCTTTAAAGACACTAAAATACTGTAATATGGACATGGTAAAGGAAAAGATCTGCATCATGTTTCCCCGTAACTACATTAGCTTGGCCAGACACACATAAGCAGTGATAATTTTAAACAGTCCCTTTCCCATTCTATTATTACACTGCGCCACATTGAGACAGACAGAGACTAATTGAGAGCTAAAGAGAGTGTCACGACAATTTGGGTGACGTATAGAAAAGGCCTGGAGTAAATGTGTTAGGGCTTGGAGTGGCACCACAACAACAGGGGAAAATGGGGAGGTGTACGCCCCAGCCAGCAGCACGGCAGACCCCGACAAAGCGACTCCATGTGTGCTGTGCATTTTCCCCCAATTACGAGCAGAGCGTCGTGGCGCGCGTCACTACAAAGTTTGCTCTGTGGCTGTACCGCTGCTGGAGGGGGGTGGCTGGGGGCTGCTGTGAGACGTACCCGCGGTGAAGCCACAACAGGCATGGCAGACAGAGAAGAGGATCACACCCTCGAGATGGGAGGGAGGGATGAGGAGGAGGAGGAGAAAAATGTGACATGATAAAGAGGATTTTTTGGTGTTACTGGATGGGCGCTGCTGGAAACATTACCACAAGAGACAAACGCCCAAAAGACAATAATCCCCTCTCTCTCTCACCCGTCACATGCAGCAATAATAGCAACGTTGAATTAGACAATTGAATTAGTCTTGCATCATTCGTGGATAAGTTATTGCTCTTAAGCTCTGGAGTGCTGTTACAGGGAGCAAAGGGAGGCAGCCCGGAGCCACAGTCATGAAAACACAGAGCACAACAAATTAAAATCACTGCCTAACGCGGTATTATCATAGCGGGGCTGCAGGACATTAATCATTCTTAAACAGACAGAGTTACTGTCATCATAGGGATACGTACATCACACTGCAGAGGAGAGGGAGAGTGGGAGAGCAGTTCACAGACAGGAGATCCAACCACACTCAGCACTTAATGAGGCCCGTGGAGTGGAACACAGGACCAGTAAGTGGAATGTTTTGTGTGTAATAAAATAGGCCTTTGGCTTGGCTAATCAGATCTTAGTCAAAACATCTCGTAATCAGCATCCCTCAGCAAAAAGCCTGTCCATTAATCACACGGCAGCGGTGAGGAGCTGTATGGGTGGCATTTTCTCCCCTCACATGCGCGCACACTTCATGTTCTGATGTTCAACAAAAAATCATTTATTTTTATTTCTTACCACATGAAACATTACAACTCTATAAAAAGACTTCCTTGGATTGCAACATGACCATTTATATGAACCCTTGAAAATACTACTATTATTAAAGATATACAATAGCAATTTGCAAATGAAATGAAAAATACTTGGAAAGCCATTATTGGTCTTCCTAAAGTCAAGCAAATCCAGTGAGCGCTTTGATTTGGCTCCATGTTTTATCACATCTGTACAAGTAAATGATGTACCTGTTAAAAGCTGCAATACATCATCTGAAACCTCAAATGAAGAGAGAGCGACTCCACAAGTCTACCGAGCGGCAAAGTGAGAGAAAGTTCAAGAGGAGGAGGGAGAGGGGCTGACAGCAGCTCAGCGAACATGAGTCCTCGGTGGTTTGAACAGGGTTTATGTAAGAGAAAGCCCACTGAGATGCGAGACTGGACTCCGATACTCGTGTCAGACACCGGTCCCTACACGTCTCACATGCTGGGAGCTTGTTCAAACGCACAGGCAGTGGATGAGGGTGGTCTACTGCAACCGTCACTGTCTGTCTTCTGAAACTCAATCCTGTAGAATCTCTGTGTAATTAACTTGCTTGGGGCGATCTAAAGACAACAAAAAGACTCGGGTTCTATGGTAAGCAGATCCAGCTACAACCGCGGCGTATCATGTGTCTTACTAAAAGCCATACAGCCTAATTGGCTTTGTGCTATTCAATATAGGTGGTAGAATAAATTTGCTGCACACACCACAATACTTATGTTCATTATATACCACAGACTATGCCTGAAGGTATTTTACTAAGAACATGTAAGTGGAGACCGACTTGTGGATGAAAACTACAATATGGAATTAGTTTGTTACCCAGTGAGGCTGTAGTCGAGTAAAGAAATTGTTGGTCTACTAAAGGCATGACCTGCCAACCAATTAGGTGAATAAAAAGGGGGTGTGGCAAATACTCTCAAAATGATTATGTATCTCTATGTACCTGATGGAAACTGCACTCACAAGACTACACCTGCACGGGAGTTCATGTAATAACAACTATTTATGCCGAAAACAGTACTAGGAAACTGTGATTAAACTTGTCATGGTTTGATACGCCTTTTTACAAATAAATACCAAAACATTCCACCTCTTCAGCAAACTCACTCACTATCTAACTCCTTTCTGTTTACGATCTAAATAAAATGACTTGTCAACAAATACAAATTTTGGTTGACTAAGACACCAGGCCTAAATGAGGTATAATGAAAGCAGAGAAAACTAGAGAAATTGGCAGCCTGTAGTAGCTAAAATCCAGTTTCAGCAACCATGTTCTGACTATAAAATTCTACTCAAGAACTCATATCTTCATATCTTATCTTTACTTTTTGGTAATAAATTATTTCTCATATAGTAAATGGTGTGAGTTAAAAGGTTTTAGGGCTAATACTAATGTTCATAATTTCAGAGATTTTAGATTTTAGTGTTTCCTGATGCCGTTAGGCAGATCAATTCGGTCAGAAAGCCCAAACACTAATGCACCTTACAAAACAGCACTGACGTGGAAAGCACTTTAGAAAATGGGGTAGGGTGGGGGCTGTTTTTAAAGACATATTTGACAATATTTTAAACTATTTCTTATTATTATTATTTATGCTGCTGTTGACCTGAGTGCACTGTTTAATTTCTGTGTATTTTTTATACTGAAATGACAAATAAATTCTGATTCTCATTCTGATTCTCTACATTATTAAGACTACAAATATAATTTATTTGAAAAAAATCCCTTAAAAAAACCCTTAAAGCAATAAATCTAGCCCTGTTGTTATATAATTTTCTATTATAATTTTGTTGCTCCTACAATCAGAAGATGGCCGCTGAAAACAGAATCCATGCTCTCTAGTTGTATTATACCTCATTCGAGTTACCTTCGCAATACCTGCATACCAGCAACAATTACACCCTTGGTTGAGGTGTCTTTCAGCCCAGATAGCATCTCTATGCAGGCAACTGTCAGATGGTGGGAGATGATCCTGCACCATGTCCAAAACAACCCTAACAACTAGCAATCAGATGGCTATTATGTCTACCACAAGCCTGTCACAAAGGTTGAGGGGCTTTTTTGTAGGTACATCTGAAGGATAAAAGAAAAGGTGAGTAAGTAAAGGAGAATGTCAAACACAAGATAAAGGCTATAGGACACTCCGAAAAAACCTCTGAGCATGCACTTCCAAATCCACACTCTCCGAAGCTGCCAGACAGAAAGAAAGGGCGCAGACAATTAGTGCCAACATTAACATGGGTAATGGCAACAGAACGGAGCTGAGAGGCACACACAGCCAAGAACATAGTGAGACTAAATCAGGAACAAGGGAAGGAAGTTAAGCTGTCCACCACTTCACATCTCCACTAAAACAAGCTACACGGATGTTTGTTGGAGACAAGACCACACCAATGGTCCATGTGTCAAAACTAAAACAAAGAACAAGTGTTTTTAGTATCAAAATGGGGGCAGGCTAGACTATGGGTATGGTCCTAAATGTTTGTTGGGGATTATAAAGACAGAGAAATACCTTACATTATGAGTAAATAAATGATTAATGATAGAAGGACATGAACTAAATTAAAGGTGTACTATAGATTTTTTTTGGAGGAGGATGGCATTAAATGTATCTATCTTACATTCATTCAATTGGTAGTGTTTTTACTGAAAAAAAAACAAAAACATTAAAATCATGTTTTCTTACTGTGAGCAGGAACACTTCTCCTCAAATCTGACTAGACCTTAAATAATTTCCTCAATGAAGTTTGTCTAAGTCTAAGCCTGATAGTCATTATTATATGGTCATGATAAGTACTATATCGATTTATTGTTAAATTTTGGAGCTCAATATTTATTGTGTGTACAATTTCTTCACAAAAGTGGCAAAATGTGTGTTATTTTTGTTGTAATACCATAAGATTTGAGCTGTAGAGGATTGCACTTACATGGCTCATTATTGGTTAATTTTACTATTTATTTATTTGTTGCAGCCTTTTAATGATACTGTTTATTAAAAATAGTTTACCGGGATTATCCTCCTTTATTTGAATTGAGTCACGGACATAAAAGGAGTTTTGATATTATTGTTTATCGGAATATATATCTGTAGCAGTATACTGTTAAGTATACTGCTAAGTCAAAATAAGTTATTGTGACAGGCCTAGATCTGACTTATAACCTGGTGTCAGCTGCTTGTCTCCGTGGTGTAGGTAGTTTAATCTGATAATGTATACATGATTTTAGGCAAATCAATAACATGTATATTGACACAAGTATTTGGCAGACAGTTACACAGTGTACCTTTAAATAAATGTATAAGGGATTTAACATTTGTCTGACTTTGGCTAAACCAAGAGTGAGAACAATAGATAAAAAATGACGTACCAAAGCAGTTTGTCTTATGGGGCACGAACATCTTACAGGCAGCAGAGATCTGTGGCTCCGCACTCAGCAAGGCCTTGATAATGAGATCTTCCACCTGCTGCATCAGCACTGGAACACAGCCATGAAGACCAGGTAAGATTATGACATTTGAGGCATATTACTGATTACAATAACACCGCCATTCAAACGTACGCGTTGTGTCCTTCCCTTCCTGCTTCAAATAGCGCAACACAGCACTCATACTCCATTTGTTCCCATAATCCTCCACTTCAGGGTCGTCACAGCTAAAGAGGAAAGGGTTAACCATGGTAACTGACTGTAATTAGTACAAAAATGAACACGGTGATTACCTGACATAATCGCTGCTCTTTTTGTTCACGCTGTAGTTTGTAAGATGCATAAAGTTGTTTTTGATGTTTTTGGATGTGCGGTCATACTTTACAGTGGCAAATCTGAAAACAGGAAAAAGAAAATCAGTTAACTCATGATCTAGTAAGAAAATTAATTTGACTTTTAAAAATGCCAAGTTCATATAATTGACAATTCTTTACTCTGTGTTAGAACTGAATACCAACAAAAACCAATGGAATGTTAGTAGATAAAAGCAGATGGAGAATTTGTGATTTATTGCTATGTTTGACAATAACACAGACAAGAGGGCAGTGTTCTCTTACTGTATCTGTCAGCAGAGTGATGTGGTAAGCCAATTAATTATATCAGCTATTTAAGTGTATGAAAACATATAATACAATTCATAAATAATATATTCATGCCATTGTTACAAAAGAATTGCGGCCACAGAGTCCCAATGAGATATCATCTGTTAATAATCAAATAATCAGGAGGCATATCTCCCAAATGAGACAATAGATAGCTTTGTTCTACCATCTCTATGAAGCCTTTTTAGAGAGATTTTACTGCCATCTTGTGGTGTTCATCTTCTGTTTGCTGATCGCTTTTCCAGTGACCACATATTCAGTGCCAGACCAGTGACTAAGAAGTACTGTGGTTAAATTGTTTGCATGTATAAGTTACATTTTGGGAAAAGAAAAGTTTCACCACCACAAAAGCATGATTTGAAAGCATAAATATTCACCTTGCCAGGCCTTCCTCGTAAACATATATCAATAGTGGATCATATGAAGTCACGAGTACATATAAGCGCATATCAAACTTAAAATCTGCAAAAACAAAGTGGAAGAAAAGATTTATGTTTTTAAATATTTTGAAACTTCTCTAAATGGAGGAGTATATGAAACCATCTCACCATCTATAAGCAAAGGGTTGTGTATATAACGGGAGACCAAGATGTTTTCATCCATTGAAATCTGGTTTGGCTGTGAAAAGTAAGAAATCAAAATGTCAGACTTGGTTAAATATAATGTAAGTTATTTTGAAATGATTACTGTATTCATTAAAAATTTTAAAAACAAAAAGTGACTGAAAATTGTCTAAATGTGGTCAGTTTTCTCTATAGGTCTGTAAAACAAAATCGGCTGTGGGAGATGGGTCATTTATGAGGCTGAAATGTGTTGCAGGTGGTGAAGTAAAGAAGAGGGTGAGAGCAGGGGGGCAGTGCACCGTCACTGCTGGCTACAGTTCAGAGAAAAGCCAAACTTTAAAAAAATGACCGTATTTCATTCTTCCCTACAAATATCTCTCTGACATTCTTTCCACTGTTTCATAAAAATGCCTCAGAAAAAAAAATCTTAGAAGAAAAGCATATGTTTTCCAAGAGTAGTTTCTTCAGAGAGGCCTGTGCTTTGAACGCTTGTGATTTACTCTGCAAAGTCTATTAATGTCTAATTCTCTCTGTGAAGACAGCTGTTTAAGTGCAACTCCCCACACAAAAGCCATGAGAGACTCCATCCATCCATACACTCTCTACACGATTCTCTTTTATGTGAATTAGACTAAACATCTAATAAACTCATTCTAGTCTAGACTCACATTGCTAACTAAATAAATGCCTCGTCCTCTTGAGGATGCTACAGGCTTGATGATCCATGGTCCCTTGTCCTTCGCAAAATAGCCTAGGATTAAACAGAAAAAAGTTAATTCAGCATATGTCTTAGAATGAACATCGTTTTGGAACAGAAAGACTTACTACAGAAATCCTGATACTCAGATGGAAGCACAAATGTTTGAGGAACAATATGGAAGTTTTTGAAACCATGGGCCTGCTGCATCCGTTGGATATTTTTATAAAGGCGATCCTTGCGTGTCAATTCGTACGATCTGAAAAGTGAGCAGGGTAGCAGATATATAACACTTCACAACTCTTTGACACTGACAGAGCAAAAATATACACAAAAGCAATAGGTCGCCCTCTGCCCGTCAATATGATTCATTCATGTTTCAACAAGGCACCTTTCCAACCTAAATGTGCTTTGCTTTGGGGTAGCCAACAAACACACTGCCTGTACTAAAGGATTTGAAACCTCTCAGCGGCAATATTTATAACATTGACAAGAGCCACGATGGGCTTTCTTTTCAAAGTTACCTTGGAAAGTGGTTGACCTTCTGGAAGTCTTGGAGGCCGCGGAGGATGTAAGGCTTTAGGTGAGATCCAGTCCACATGAGGTTGAAGTCATTACTATTTGGGTGCACCTTTAAGCAGACACAGGGATGGACTTAATAAACCACAATGTTATATATAAAGTGCCTGTCTAGTTTCTACTCTTTAAACCATCTTAAAACTCAGGACAACTTACATGACATCATCTTATTGTTTTATTTGTAGTTGAAATTTTGCATGACCGCTTGATGTTGAGAGAAAAGCCAGATGTTTGTAATAAAAGCAGTGGTACACGCTCATCTGCTTTTGAAGGGTTAGCAGGAGTCAAGAAGCACTCAAATAAAACAAAAAGATTTAATTGTAACTGCTTAAGAAGACAAATAGCGGGGATTGTCTACTGTCGTGCAGTGGAATTATTGTTATTGAGGTCATTTTATTTTTATTCCTCAGATCATTCCCAGGTTTTGACATTATCAGTGAGAGGAAAAATGTCCGATCTCACAAAGGAAAGAGGTACATAAATAGCAGCAACTTGGAAAAACAATGTTGGCCAGATTTAAGCCAGTCTGTAAGATTTATATGATTTAAATGACATTACCTCATGGAATCCATGATTGGTGAGTAATCCTCGGACCAGGCGGCTCTCTGTACGCACTATCTTAAAGGCCATCTTGTAGCGATCTTGGAAAAAGACAAATGCAGTATTTTTTTGTTTTGTTTTTTCTTTGTTTTATATACATTTTACCATAAATAAATCAGTCATTCATAAGTTTATTAAATAATTGATTCAGTTCCATAGTACCTCCAATTGAGCAAATTCTGTCATCTTTTGAAACAATGGCTTCAGGGAAAAACATGAGAATGGGAATCGTCTTGCTGGTGCCACTCCAGGCAATGCAGTGAAGCTCTCTTGTAGACAGACACACATAACCCAAAATGTAGTTAATATTTTATATACAATCTGCCACAAAGAGGAAGCATTTCATTCCTTTTTGGTTTTGCTGTAAATGACTATCTATTGCTGTAAGAATGCATTTATTTTTATTATGCAGATATAGCCAGACACATATAGTTAAAAAGGCAAACCCCAACGTACAAACTAGGCTGTTTAAAAATAGTTCATGTTAATTAATAGTTTATTACTGGTAAAAATAAAAATAAAAAAATGAAGTTGTTAATAAAATTTACTTTATAATGCATTTGAATGGACAACTATTGTCTCAATAGTGTATAAAGTAAGTTAGTTACTGTAGAACAGAAAATAGATAGTAAATAGGTCTTGTTAAACCATTTCAAAGCGGTTCAAAATAGCATCTTGTACATCTAGCCCTGGCATTGTTCAGCTTCTGTGCCATATACAGCCCTGTGGTAGACCGTCCCGTCTAAACTGATTTGGAATTACAAAATAAACATATTTTATAATTTTACCTCATATATGGACTAAAGCTGTATTGCTTTTATTTTATAGGTGTTTTTTTAAATGACATTTTTTGTAAGGTGGCCTCACTTTTTCATTGCTTAGTTATAACATACACTCTTACCAGTCTTACCAGCTTGACAAAACAATGATATTTACTGCTTTTTTTTTTTTTTAATAAAGAAATACAATTAATATTATGCAGTATTGAGTTAAGCATTTTGGCCTGGCCCTCCACAATATTTTCTGTTTCTCATGTGGCCCCATGGAAAAAATAAATGCCCACCCCTGATCTAGCCTGTTTCTCCCTGCACCACAAAAAGTAATTTGACCTTTGCATTATTTAGTGGTCTGGATTTCTGATGAAGTACTAAGGATGAGTACAGAACAGAAGTACATATATATTATTTAACAAGCTGAAAATTTATCAAGTTACACAAGGGCAAAACAACTGTATGAGTTCATACAGGTGGAATAGGAAATTACCTTAAAGTTATGTTAAAGATAATTAAGATTTGTACACTTTTAAAACATATTTTAATAAATTGCATTGGTGCAACTTGACAAAAAATATCAAAACCATCAACTGGTATTCGTAAGACTATAAACTGGAATATTTGATTTGCCACATCCAGCTTTGCAGAGCAAAACTGTGATCTTACATAGAATGAAATATGCACTTGATAGATATGGCTTAAGTTTACACATGATGGGTATCAATGAACAATCAGTAAATGAAAAGTTGATTATTTGTGATTCATTCAGGCAAAAAATACTAATGTATGCTCAAGTGTGTGGAATGTGGACTTACTCGTGCTCATCATCTGAGGACGATTCAGAGTCCTCCTGATCCCGGGTGACAGCTGGCATTTCGCAGTGAAAAGGAGACGGGAAAAGGTGAAATGCTCAAGAAATAGAGCTTTCCTCCGGCATCCGGCTTCTACATAGAATACAGCCATATGAGTCATACAACAAATCTTCTCTTGTTACATCCTTTACTAATAAGTATTGCATTATAAACATCTTATTCAAATAATTGTATTTATGCAAAATATTTCCTTTCACGTCTTGCTTGGACAAACACTTGCCTACATTTGTTACACATTAATTACCAAGTTACTAAGCAGCGAGCTTTAGACGTTACAGACAGCTAAGCTATTGAAAATATATTTCGCTCAATTCAAAAGTGAAACATACATTTTTGAGATGCAACGATTACTGATTTACCTTGGAAATTGGACATCTAATGATGACACAATCATTCGACCAACGTACATAGCATTTCTATATGAGCAAACATATAATAGCAAGCAGTAGTTCCCTTATTTTTAGCGCTTGCTACTTGCTAGCAGTGGTTTTGCAGGTAATCATCACAGTTAATCCTCCTGGTTACAACAGCAAGCGGGAACAGGGCATTCGCAATTAATATAAGTACGATTTAAGTTCAGAATGAACATTTAATCTATGTCTGTACATGTTAGGGATTTGGTTGCATAAAACATATAACATATGTTATTTTGGAATTAACATACTATGAAAAATTGGAAGATTAAACGTCAAAGAGTAAGTAAGAGGAAATAAGTATTTCGATTCATTTACACTCTTTGACTGGGCACAGTTAGGCTGCAGGTGATTGGCTCACAGGAGAAGAAGGCGGGCTCATCTGCTCAAATGTCAAATAGTCAGAGTGGTGTGATTGGATGGAACCATTTTGGGGCTTTCTAATTGGAGAAAAAAACAGCCCAACAGAAGAGGCGTAAACACAGCTGTTTTCTGAAGAAGAAAAGACACTTCAGGGTCCCATTTACCTGTCCAGTTTTGGTCGTTACATGTGTAACATCTAATTTAGGAGGCGCTCACAGGTAAGTACACTATAACAGCTGAATCTAAAATGAACGCAGAAATCATGCACGCCCCTGCAGTGTTATATGATCAGTCACCTGTTTGTAATGTTAGTGACGAGGCGACTAGTTTTACTGACCAGTGTCGGAACATACACATAGTCCAGATTTTAGCCTGGTTTGAGACCAGTTTAGTCCTGATCTAATTCTGATATGTGTATGCGTGTGTGCCGTCGTAGAATGTTAGCATTAAATAATGCTCTTTGCTTTGGCAGGTGCGTCTCTCTTTCCCACAGGCAGAGATGAGTCGCTTTCTGAATGTGCTGAGGAGTTGGTTGGTGATGGTGTCTGTCATTGCCATGGGAAACACGGTGCAGAGTTTCAGAGATCACAGCTTTCTGTCAGAAAAGCTGTACACTGGCTCCCCAGAGTATGGTATGCACCCACTGATTTTTTGTACAAAGACATAATTTATCCTTTTAAACCAATGTGTGGTAATGAGTTCTGATTCTTGTTATTATGCTATTACATCCAAACCTACATGTGTATGTTTTTTCACAGTAAATGGTCTTCAAGCACGGACATTTGGGATCTGGACATTACTGTCATCGATCATTCGATGCGCTTGTGCCATTGATATCCAGAATAGAACGTAAGCCTTCCACTCACATTTACAGTAGAGTTGAATTTGTTTTATCCCATTGACCTGAGTTTTTGTACAGGCTGTACCACATCACTTTATGGACATTTGTTTTGGCATTGGGTCATTTTTTATCTGAGGCCTTCATCTACAAAACTGCACCCTTGACTATTGGGGTCATGGCTCCTCTGATTGTGGCAAGTAAGTAATTGTATCTTTGTATAACAGCATGTTTTATTGGGAATAATGCTTAAAAATGATCATTTATGTGGGTTGCAGGTTTTTCTATTATTGGGATGCTCATAGGCTTCCAGTGTTTCCCAGAGACACAGGAGGACATTGGAGCACGACAGAAAAAAAGGAACTGACTCTCACAAAAACACTTTTCTTTTTTGGAGCCCCCCAATATTGCCCCTTGGATGGGTCATGCAGCCTTGAAGAACAATGACCGATGTGAACTCCTTTCCTACTGTAGTTCAATAAGATTCATATGGGTATTTTTTTATGAAGAGTTTGTTCATTTTCATACTCAAACTCAAAATAATTTGAATATGTACTATGCATCTTAATTAAAGTCAATTTTTATTAAATCTCTATGTTTACAAGTGTATAGTTCAATAAGACTCATTATCTGATATTTATTTTGGTAATTAACTGGGCAGAGTAATCATTGTATTTTAACACGCTTTTATTTTATTTTAATTAATAATTACCCATTATAAAAATAGCTACAGCTTTCCTAGAATAAAAAAAAAAAAGGTTAAGAAAAAAGACAAAGGCCATTGTTACCAAATCACATTAATGTTTATACTTTACAATGCTCATTTCAATGTTAGGCACAGAAAATATTGTTGCAAAGTTGTTCAGTACATGGATACAGACACAAATCTACCATCCAAAGCCCTATATTTGTCAGTAACACACAACACACTGACAAGAACAAAGTAAGTTAACTTATTGCTGTAGGTGAGCAATACAAATATACCCCAATATTACACATAGATAAAGAAGGTCACTTAAGAGTGTATTATGGCATCAATTGTATAAATCGATGCATAGCATCATCACTAGTACAGTGTATAATGATCCTGAGTGGATACAACTGTCAGAGAACCCCTAAATTTAAACATACCTGCATGGTAAGTAAACTATGTGAATAAAAGTAAACCCTCTGTACTAACATTACAAAGGCTATAATAGTCAATAATATATATATATTTTCACAGACAAAAAGAGCCAGAAGAACACAGACAAAGTTGTACTCTGGCTCAGAGTGTAGGTAATGATGAGGTCAAAGTGCAGTTTGCAGATTGAATTACAGTGTGCTACAGTGTGCCACTGAGCTTAATTTAAAGTTGTGTAGCTTTTTTCTGATGTTGCGTTCAGTAACTTATACATTTTATTTGTGCATTTGTGAGGTCTTATCTTCACCAGAACTTAAGGTTTCTGGTGACAAGAACTCTTCAACCGTAGCTCCTTCAGTGTTCAGAGTCTAGTCAGAGGCAAGAAAAATATTTCAATTAGTTTGTGAAGCAATTAAAAAAAAAGATTCATTCATCTTCTCCCACTTTATCCTGAAGAAGGTTATGGGTGACTGGACCCTATCACAGTAAGGAAAGTATAATTTATAAAACCTAAACTTTAAGTGTTACCAATATCCAACTATGTCTTAACATCTTAAAGCAGTTTACCTTAATCTGTTCCTCTGCAAAATAATCTGATATAAATGCTAAATAGCATCACACAAATTACCCAGTGTGTACAAAAACTAGACAAATCACCTCTGTAGAGTGGCCCATACCTTGTAAGGTAAATGTTTTTTTTTAGGGCCGCCAGGGGCCGCTGCGGGAAGTACCACCATAATGCTGTAGTGAAGAAAACACAGGGCCTGCAGACTGCAACAACAGCTTTCAAATCACACATCTGAGAATCTCAATAAACCGCTTCATACCACACCAGACCTATGCCACCAACTATATAAGTGCCCTTAAGCAAGACAAGGGTTTTTCTACCTGGTTAGGAAACAGCCAGTTAATCCTTAGCAGCTCATTTTACTCTTGCAAAGTTTACTGTGTATTATTTCCCCATTATAAACCAAAACAAACATATTATTGCTAAATACATGGCATTGAGTACATTTCCAGAATGTACTCATGACCACACAGGTAGGAGTTGATAATAAAGATATTTCTGCTGAAACGCGGGTGCAGACTTTAGACAAACAGACTTTCCAAGACACCCATCAATTCAAATATATCCAGGCAAATAGGTATTGCTGGCATGCTATCAGACAAAACCATCTGCACTCCCAAAAACCAATGAAAGTGAGTCAGAGAAGTCCCACTGCAACTACATGCCCAAAATTGTTCATGCATCTGTCCAAAGCCATACAATCCAGAGATTAGCAGAACAAGTCTTTGACGCATTAAAGTAGCAAGCAAAAAGGATAGTGCCAGTGCCAGTTTACACTCTCCTTATAAAGAGAGCGTACAGAGAAGGTACATACTCACACTCACTGCCTGCACCAGATTCTGGGTATTGGCTTTTAGTCTTCGCAGATCTGCTTTGATAAATGCTGCCATAATAATAATAAAAAAATTGTCGTTAGTTGAGTATGTTTACATAAGATGAGTAAACATTTGTCACATAATAGTGGTAATATCAAGTAGCAGTTTTCCAAGTATCCACTAGAGGGTAGTGCTATCCTACAACAGTTCACAAAATCCAGATTGATTGTGTTCCTTTTTTAAGGTCACTAATTATAATGTGTACCTGTTACTGCTGTTCCAACGAGTAAGAAGATAATCAAGAACATGTTACCAGCAAAAGTGCCCCATATATCAATAATCTTTCCTTGTGATATGATGAAAATAATGCCAAAGATCTAAAATCAAAAGAAAAATGTGAACAAAACTACAAACAAAGCTACATTTACAGCATGTTATATTTTTACACACCTGAGCTGAACAGTTAAGCAAACCAGAAGACGTTCCCTCAGACTCTGGAAATGTTAGCTCCACAGCAAACTCATACCCCAGAGGTAGGAAGCAAGTCATAAAAAAACTACACAGAGAGAAAATGTAAATGTTAATGTATGATTATTGTATGGAATGAAGAATGAAGTTATCTCCCAAACCAGTAATGTGTTTTGTCTCTCTGGGAAATATACCAAAAACAAACCATATTAAGAAAACTTTTAAAAGCTCTATTGACATTGTGTTAAGCCTGTGAATGATGTTAAAAGTCAGTTTGAAAGGTGACCCACCCTAAAACACCAGCTGTCACAAACACCAACCAAAGATGACCTAAATGTAACGTGAAGGTAAACACCAGCATCCCAGAGAGAGAGAGGATGTACACGGCCAAGGAGGTCTGTCTGCAAATAACAAAGACAAATAACAAACCATCATGAAAGTGTTTAGATACATGGAAAAAACAGGAAGTGCAACAGAACCAAAGTGGAATGGTGTATATCACAGCTGTGAGAGTGAGACTGACATACAGCGCTGGATCTAACCTTGAGGAGGCCCTTAGCAAAATCTTACATGGAGGTCTTAGCCACTTCAATGCCACTCGGTTCACATGCTGCATTATGATGCACACAGCTGTCAGTACATAATTTGAGAGTATATTTTTGATTGAATGTACAGTATAAATTAATGCAAGATATAGTGGTATTGTTTCTTGTTTCACTAGGTTGGGATAGTCATGTTGATGTTGAATCATGTTGATAAGTGCATGTTTGCACACCAAGCTGTAACCATGGACCGGATTCCACTGATTGTTTAACATTTACAGAGATATCCTCATTCATATCCTGCACATTGACAGCAACCACCCAAAGCTGGGAATGAGTAAACACTGTAGTCTTTCCCACTTTCCCAACCTTTACACTTAAAGCACTGAGTTGATAGCATTTGGATCTGGCAGTATCCTTATTAATGTGGGACCCCTCTAAAATTATTATGCACCCCATAGTCACCAATCTTGGCATCTCAACAGCCCCCAAAGTGGAGTGTTTAATGTGCTGTCTTAAGACCCACTTTTATTCTCTGGCTTTAAACATCACGTGAGTTGTATGGTCTCCTGTGTCATTTATTCATTTTTTATTTATTTTATTGGTTTTATTTATTTATTTATTGCTATTTTAAGGTTTAGCTCTAATTTGATTTGACTGGTTTTATTGTTTTAATACTAGTATGTGTATTACTACTACTGTGTATTTGTGCAGCACATTAGAAACTGAAATGCATTATAGAATTAAAATTGGAAAAAAGTCTTACTTGTAAGTCTTGGTCTTATCGAGCCAGATGCCACATATGAGGGACCCAACCATTCCAGTAATGACAATAGTCAGACCAATTCTCCCAGCATTCACCTCTTCACCCTCATAAAAAAAGGTTAATATACATAACTAAACAAAACAAGGAACAAGGAACATGTGGAGTAGCGTAGAAAAACTTAACTAAATATTCAGTCTTAAAACCCTTCTATACAATTTTTAAACCCCTGTGATCAAAAATATTACTACGTGGTATTCTTCTTCTCTTCACCTTATGCTTGTTTAGAGACTGGCTCACAATAGTTTATTTTTTCCTAAAATAACCCAGGATCATAATTGGATAAAATGTTCTATAAAGCCATGCCCTTTTGACAAGATAGTACACAACAACCAATTACTTACACTTTAAGCTCAAGACAAATAAATGCTTTAAATGTTTTCAAACATCATACACAAAATTCTAATGGGACTATTGCTGCATTATGACTTACAGGATACTTTTCAAGAATTATCCGGTTCAGCAGTGTGGACACAGAGTAAAAACAACCAACATTGACTCCTGCAAAGTTTGAAAAAGAAAGATTGGACGACATACATCTGTACAGCAAAGCAATTTAAGAAAAAAAAATATCTTAAAAGGGGGTATATAGAAGAGTAGTTTGGAGTTGTGAGCGAAATATATTCATTAAACTCACCATAGCTGACCACCAGAAGCATAAAGGCCTTGTTTTTCAGTAGTCTTAAAATTGAAGCAGAGTAAGAATACTCATCATGACGGAAGTTTCTGGCCTGAGCTTGGGCCTGGCTTGGTGGTAGTTCAGGCTTTTCCTGGAAGACTAGAAATATACATAGAAATTAAACAGTAGTCATGATATATTTGTTGCATGCAGATGAAGCATTTTGCATAAAAAGGTTTATATTTATGAGTTCATGACATAATAAGAAAAGGTAATATATACATTGTAATAACAGTGATAAATTTAAATTTAAGCAAATCAGTTGCAAAAACAGTACTAGTGTCATGATATTAAAACTTCACATGAATAGACTTCATACTCAATATTAATTCCAATACCATGATGATAATAAAAATATTCTTCAAGTAACAGAATGTAATTTTCCACATTAAATCATAATAATTTCTTTTATATTACCATGTGACCTTATATCTGTGTAATCCCTCAGTCGCCCAGGTCTATGTGTACTACTTGTTCTGATACAGCTCAAGATCATGCGAAAGCTTTTCTTTCCTGTAAATTACATTTTTTAGTACTGATACTTACTCAAATGTGTATCTAGTTTTGGTATGAGTTTTAGTATCAATTAGCATCTGGTTTTCCAAATTTTTGACAACCCTAGTACATTTTTTGTACTTTAAAGAACTTGCCGGGTCTTATAAGTAATTTAACATGATATTTTTGATTTATGGAGATGTAGCTTTGTCCAAAAGGGTTTACTCTGATGTATTACCGATGCATCATTACACCCCTACAAATAACTTATGAGGTTATCTGCAAGTCATTACATCTTGTGTCTTCAGAACTCACCAAGGACAATGAGGACAAAGAGGATGGTGGCTATCCCTGCACTGATGTAGAACATGACCTGGATGTGATGTGCTAGCTCGTCTTTGTCTTCCACATTGGGGACAAGCACTGGGGGGACCAAGAAGCCAATGGCAACGCCCAGCTATGGGGAAGAATCACAGGTGGAGTACAATATAGAGTATTAAATATGAATAGTGATAGAAAATATACAGTAAATCAAAAAAGATGGACCACAAAAAATGAAATACAGATAAAACTACACAAAAAACTAAAAAAAAATAAATGCACACACAAGTTTAGTTGCTTTGCTTTGGTGTGGTGTAAATGTGCCTCTTTCTTTACAAATCACAGATTGAGGTCCTTAATTCTGAAGAGAAGTAAATTAACCCTTACAGTTCTGGCCTATTTCCCCCAAAACACTTGACAAAAATAAGGCTCAATTCAAACTGAGTGCTTGAACCCTTTGGAGTACAGAAAAATGGCTGGACTCTTTCTGAAGCTATGGCACTGTAGTTTTGCTGTCTGCTGTCTGCTGTCTGCTGTCAGCAGACTACTACTGCTACTACTACTATCCTCACTATCAACAAGCTATGCACAATGGAAAACCAGATTTAAAATCCCAGCTGTATTTTTGGAGGTAAATATAAGGTCTGGTATAGCTGTTATCCAACTGAGCAATTCTTGAGTCTCTACAATTCCCATCAAAAAAGCTAAAGCATATATCACCAAAGATGACATCTGTGGACTTGTAATTAGGTAAAAAAAAAAAAAAGGCCAGGTGGAAATTTATTTTATTTATTTTTTTGTGAATTTTAGGGTTATTATTTTTGATTTGTGCGTTTGGAGAACAAACTGGTCCATATTCTTCCTGGAATGGTTGATTTTACTGAAAATATATCACATATTTTCAGTAAACAGCTTTCCATTAATGTATTACATTTCCATGAGCTTCATGGTTCTCTTTTAAACGAACCCTCTGACTCTATGAAACCTCAAAGTTAAGTGACTAAAGATCAAACACTATGGCCCTTATCTTGTCATTCTGCATAGACTGAGTTCAACTGATCTGTCCACTAGGAGTCCAAGATGATACTGCCAGCAGTTTAACAGCGCAGCTCTTGGTCTAATAAAGGGCTGAACGTAAAACAGACAAGTTTTGACCAGGTAAACTAGCTCTTCTGCATACAGTGCATTGTCCATATTTATGGGTTGCAGCAGGTCATTAGAATTGAATGTTTAAGGATAATATTTAATTTTTAATTCTGACTATTTTTGTAAGATTTAGATTATAACAATACAATGCTGATGGGGTGGATGGACAAACCTGGTTTCCCAGAACCCCAATGGAACAGGCAGTGGACACCTCTTTTTGCCCAAACCACAAAGATGCCAGCCTTGATGGTATGCCAAGAAGGTAAACTGTGGCCACTGAACATACAAACTGACCAAAGAAGGTCAAGGGAAACATGTGTGGGTCAGCTGTGCTGGTTTTGATCCAAGCTCCAATGCAGTTGAAGGCTGAGCCCACTAACACAATGTCCCTCAGGCCACGCTTGTCCAGCATCCATGTTACAGGCAGGATGAAGGGAATGTATGTAAGGAGGTAGATCATGGACAGCCAGTCTATTGCCAGAGAGTTGATGCTGTAGAAGTTCATGAAGATGTCACTGATAATGCTGTACTGCAGCCACATGAAGGCGTTACTCATGGAGTACAAAGAGAAGACCAGGAGCATGAGCCAGCGCCGCTTGTACAACTTAGTCTCCAAAAGTGGAAAGAGGTCCTCAGACTCCAGGCTGACACTGTCCTGTCCTGAGGGCAGCTGATGGTTGTGTTCTCCCAAAATGGAGCTGCTTTCATTGTTCAAGTGGGAGTTAGTGCCCGTGATCTTTCCGCGACTTTCCACCCAACTTTTGACATGGTCATCCTGATCACTCATCTCCTCCAAGCACTGTCACTCCCGTTTTTACTCTGTGGAGCTGGAGAGAAAGAGAAACGCAATTTCTTTTTGTGCACTTCAGCGTTATGAGATTTGACCAGGTCCATTCTAACCCACTTTTCCCTGCCTCCTATAGGAGGAAGGCCAACTTAATTCAAATGTAATTACACATAATCACTTAACAGTCTGAAAGCTGTGTCATATTTCTTTCTATTTGAACAACATTACCTATGGAAATGTAATGTTGATGAGATGGCAGAATTATTTATGAGAAAGAGAGCTATGCATTTTATAAGAAATCACAAAGTCCATAAGACACTGAAAAGTCATCAGAAAAGTAGCTTACGGTGACATTTTACTACATGTTCGCTGAACATACAAATTGAACAAAACTGGCAGAACACATCTAATCTACAGGTATACACTGTATAAAAACAGTCACAACAATTTTCAACTTCTACATTATTATAGTGTAATCTTGAAAGATCATTATTACATAGCTTATTTTTGTGTGGCTCGTAGAGTCATACATGGTAAAGAGAGTTTATTGTTTATCTTGCCCATATGCTTTGCCATATATATATATATATATATATATATATATATATATATATATATATATATATATATATATATATATATATATATATAAATAAACCAATTTAAATGTGTTTTAATGCATAGACTTTTGAAGGTCTTCGCATTCAATTGGAGACTTTTTTTTCTACGAGTCACCACTAAACTTTTAGTTAGGTCGTTTAGTGTTGATTCGTAGAAAAACGCTGCTCTCCCCTAAAAGAATGCGCTATTTGCCACTCCTTGCCTATCCAAACATTTAACTTAAAACATAAGTATGGCTGCTTTTTATAAATATTTTGGCAAGATTTTGTAGATGGTCAACCAACTTAACCAATGTCTAGACCCCACTGTTTACTACCAGCGAGCCCAATAATCGTGATTAAAAAGTTTGAACTGTTCAGTAGTCACCTACCTGATGCAAGGCAGCAGGAAATCAGTCACGTGAAAACTACACACGAAGCACATACACATCATAGGATGAATCTCATTTTTCGTTCCTCGCTTCCTTCTCGTTGATTCCTCTCCTCAATTCTGTAGAAAATGGGTAAGGTCCCAGTCACAGAGGAAACAGACTTTCCTCAGGGGCTGACCAAACCCTAACCCTATTATTGGGACACCGCTTAATATGGCGTATTTGATTGACAGCTAAAAATGGAGGATCGAGGAGAGGAAGCAAGGAGAAGGAAGCGAGGAAATAGAAATGAGATATACCCATACACGCGCCCATAACTTTACGTCACTTCCGACACGAGCCGCAAGCCAAAGCGAGTGCGCTCGACCCCTGTACAAGGAAAATGTGAATAAGTTTTCTTGAATTGTGCATATTATAAAAATGATATGGATGGGTTTTTTTTAAAAGCAGGATAGGTCTCATCCGGAGAAGTCACATGAAGCTATAACAAACTTTTGAAAATATTTTAGCATCTGGGTACAGCCAAATTATTAAACATTTGAAAACTTATGCTTCTCTTTAACATAAGCAGTGCCTGTTCTCCTGCTTAATTTCAGAAACTAGGGCGGGTTATGGGAAAATGTAACACACTTATTATCAGTCATATTAACCATTCTGGGGTGAATCTGGACCAGTTTGTAAAAAAAAACTCCAACATTTTTGTGACATTTAGATTTAGCATTTACATTTAACGTTTAACATTTAGTTAAATAAAAATATGAAATATTGCACCTATTTACATTTTCTCCAAGTTGACAAATATTGCTTTAAATGTACAAACAGCACCCCATATGTTTGTACCCCAGAACCACAAATATAATTCACAAAAAAACAAACAGGAACAACAAAACAACAAAAACAGGAAATTGGACAATTTTGCATAAATATTTTCTACGTGACATATGAGTCAGCTTTGACATGGGAATTGTCAGGACATAGCAAGTGTTCTACTGCAGGGATCTCCAACCTTTTGCGTCAGGTGAGCTGCCTTTATGAAATGAAAATGCAGGAGAGCAACAAATTTTAGCGGTTGCAAGAAACTGATTCGATATAAGAGGCACGCCTTAGATGTACAGTTAAATGCTCATAAAACATTAAACTATTTATTAGTGCACAAAGTTCAAAATAACATATACAGTGGTAATTTATCAAATTTTAGTTTTTTTGTACAATACGTATAATTCAGAAATCCTTTGGCGAGCTACTTGTATGAGAGTGGAGAGCTACTAGTTGCTCCCGAACTACAGGTTGGAGACCCCTGTTCTACTGTCTATCGGACGATTCTCCCAGACACCAGCTCCCTATTCTTATATTGGGCTAGAAAAATCCAGGCGGGATTTGAATTTGATGATTCTCTGTATGCTTGTTCGCGCTTATAACGAGAGTAGATCAGACAGCAGAGGTCAACACTACAGAACCTCAGTGAATCACACAACAAAATTCTCTCACAAAGGTGCCAATTTCATTACCTGATTGCCAACGGCGCCAATAGCGCAAGCGGTGCTCACTTCATCCGCGCCAAACCACACAAATGCCAATTTAGAGGGCATTCCTAGTAGAAACACCTGAGCCATTGCAGCAAAACTCTGTCCAAGTATGGTGACCCAGAATAGGTTGGGTCCAGTGCTGCCCACTTTGATCCAAGCCCCTGTGAAATTGAAAGCATTGCCTACGAGTGTGCAAAAACGCAACCCTTTCTTCTCCAAAAAAGTAACTGGAAAGATAAAAGGGATGTAAACGAGCATATAAAGCATAGAAAGCCAGTTTATAGCAAAGGACTTCACGTTATAGAACCTCATGAAGATGTTGCTGATGATGGCGTACTGTATCCATTGGTATTGGTTGAACAGAGCGCATGAACTGTACAGGAAAAGTATCACCCAGCGAATCGGGTACAGGCGCGTACTGGAAACCTTGCCGTGATCCAATGGAGTCACTTTTGAAACTTCTTGCAGTCTTTGTGATTTTGAGAAATTCTCCTCAGCGCTCAGGTCTTCTGTGTGTGCTGAATCCCCATCCATCTTCAGGCAGTAGCAGAGACCTATGAAAATGCCTAACACGCACAAGATCTCAAGCCACCGCTCACCACTCCATTCATATGAGCTCAAATTTAGATGTGATTTTCAGCTGGTGCACTGAGAGCCACAAGCCACTTTAGCTCATCCATTCGCATAGCCTGAAAGTTTTACAAAGTTAACAGGGCAGACAGTTCTCCTAGACACTCTTGGAATTATTATATAATAACATTATGTTACTATCACCTGGAAATATGCTAAAATATGTCCATAAACTTCACGGCAACTTAACCTGACAAGGAACAAACCTACGTAGAAAATCTGCAAAGACCATGTTGTATATTTGGCCACTAGATGGGAGTATTGTTTCAATTTAGAGATATTGCAAAGGAAAAGAAACCTACAAACTAAACTAAACTAAAAAATAATAATAATAACAATAATTCATTAGGAGAGGGAGATACAAAATATTTATTTGATGGCTTGATGCTGGTGAAGCCATATACAAAAGTATAAAAAACATAACTAACAATATAAATTGTATAACAAAAACAAACTGTATATTTGTAAACATTTACATATATATATATATATATATATATACATATAGATATGTGCATATGTGACGCCTGCGCCAAACAACAGAAATGGTATGAGTGTAGTCACCAAATATTCAGATCTCTCTGACTACATGAGTAAGTGTGCTTTTACAAATGTAATAACATTTCTTCCTTAATTTTTTTTTTTTTTTTAACAAACTAGCTTAAGTTGAATTACTCTCAAGTGCAAGATTGAAGAGATGCCAAAGTATCTTTGCAAGGTATTCTGCATCAATTAGTTATCAAAGTAAACAACGTATTTTTAAAAGTACGGCCCAGTTTGTTTTGTCCTTATACCACTTACCCACTCAGTATCAAGACCGATTACAGAAAGTTTACATTTGTCCAGTCAGTCAGTATAAACTCTTTGGATCCATTTATAAGTGCTTGTGTAGTTCTTATACAGCTCAAAGCTAATTGCTGGTGGTTGGCTTTTCCTTCCCTCTGTAAATGTTCACTTGGCCTCCAACTGGTTCAGTATAGGGTTCACCTCGCTCTCTGGAGTTTTCACACTGTCTGTCCTCACTATACATGTTGGACGGTGGCGGTTCAGCATTAGAATCAGCTGCTGTCGTTCCAGTTTCAACTCCTCAATCTGGGCTTTCAATTCAGAATTTAGCATCTCCAGCCTCTCGGATTCCTGTGAAAGGATAATACACATCAGTAATAACTGACATGATTCTTAAGAGAAAATATATGGCATTTCATAAAGTATTTCATACTTTTTGTAGATAATCTGTTCTTTCCTTCTTTTTGTTTCGACACCGAGCAGCTGCTACTTTGTTTTTTTCTCGCCGCCTTTTCCTTCGTTCTTCTTCCTCATCTCTCTAAAAAAGAAAGAATATATATTTTTTGCAAAAATTATACTAATTTAGCTGTGATCTTAAAAACAGTAGTAACAATAGCCATAGCCTACCCTAGCCTACCCATAGGCTATAAATGCAAGAATATATAAATGCACATTTCATAGAAGCTTCTAACATGGCAAAATGACAATACAAATATGATTTTAAAAAACAAACAAAAAAAACGCACGCCTAAACTACAACATGAATAGGAAATATGGATCAGTATGTTTCTGTATCAATATATCAATCAGTTTTATATTCATGACACTGACAGGTTTAAATACTTGTAGTTATGCTTGTTTCCTCCTTACTTCTGATTTGATGACTAGAGGTCTCTTTCCAAGGCTGCCCAGGATGTGCAGAGGAGAAAAAAAAGTCCCAAACTCCTGGAGGTCACCATACTTGAGCTTGTCTGTCAGTGTGGTGGCTGAGATCCCGGCCAGTGGGCCGAGGCTGGGCAAAGAGCCTGCTGTCACAGAAGGATCTGGGATTTGTCCTGGCATTGTGTCAGACTGAGGTGTGACCACAGCTAGGGTAAAGAAAGCAATGAGAAACACATTAATAAAGCAACACTAAATAGGAAATGTTTGGACATTGCCTACCCCTACTGAACGACTGCCTGCAGTTAGTAAGCGTAGTAAACCATCAAAATTAAAATAGCTTAGTTTACTTTGTGTTGTGGAAATTTAGTAATTTAAAACAAACAAAACTGTAACATTCATTAAAATGACTGCGTAAATACTTTGAGAGATTTGACATTACAAAAATATAATTAGCTCAGGAGCCTATAGGCTACATTATGGCTTTCAGTTTAATGGCAAGCCACGCGCAAAGGCCATTGGTCAACGAGAAAGCGGAAGTTTTTCTTCAGTGCGGCATTCACCTTACGTAACTTTGTCATTTTGGAAGACAACTGCAGTGATAGTGTTGCAGCTTTTCATTGCTCGGGCCTTTGCTTTACAAGTTATAACCATGTCATCATAATAATGAAACACAACTCTCACTGGCTAAAATGCGAGACTAAGAACGCTGTGTCCTCAAATTGCTTGCACAACGTGCGTCCATACGAGCATGTAGACAAAAGAAATGGTCTTGGCTGAAGTAAGCTAACAGAAAAGCTCCACTAAGAACGCCAAAGTCTTCGAGACAAAACGTCTAACAAAAATACGAGTGATCTGTGCTGTCTTGTCTTTTCACAAACTATGCTCGTTATGGCCAATGCGTGGCGTGACAATAAACTGTTCAGTGCAAAAATGCTGCGTTCGCCTCTTGAAGACTTAAGTTTTACAAACCTGACTTTGATCCCAGGTGCAACAAATGTCCTTTCTTCTGGTCAGCTGAGGGTCGAGAGTAGATTTTAAAAAGTGGAAATCGTTGCATCAGCTCGATTTTTAAATGTGCTCCAAATCTGGGAGGATTTGGGAATGCGGAAATTAGGCTATGCCAGCCAAACGTAAGCAGGGATGTAAAAAGTGCATAGTGGGGGCAGAAGTGGGGAAGTCGCACCGCTCCTCCCATAAAGAAACACTGATGCTGCAGACTGCAACGACACACTACGGCTCATGTGGCTGCAGCTAACGACCTCGAAGCGGCAGCGACTATGAAGTGAAGGAAGAGTCAAAGAAAAATAACCAAACACTATTGTCAGCGTACATTTATTGTAGAGATATTCAGCAGCACTGATTAGCAATCAGTGCTGTTTTAAAAGTTAACAAATAAGTTAAATCCAAAGGGTAAAAAAATAAATAATAAGGTACATCTTGATAGATATATAGTACTGTAAATAGCACTGGATGTTTTCATGGAAAACTTTTAACATTTTAACAATGAGGTCAAACCACAATCAATGACATTGAGGTATGCAGGTATTTATGAATGGGTGTAATAGAACATTTACATCAATCTATACACTGTAGACACTATAAACACAAATACTGTAACATTAATGTCCACATTATATCCTAGATCTAGTAAAAGATCAAATATATATGAGCCTCAGAATTATGTGATATTCTCAGCATGCGTTTTAAAAATACATGTTCGTTCAGTCCTGTTCAGTGAATGCCATGCTTTGAGCTACATCACTCTTTTTGCTGTGTATCTGGAAAAAACATCATATGTTTGTCACACACAAGACATTTCATGAGTGTATTACAGCATACTGTAGTAAATACTATTTCCAATTCAAGAATCAGAGAGCTGAGAAAGGTTTCCTTTGTCAATTATAAGGCTAGAAGAGTTGGGGAGTTGAGGATATCTACGGACTCGGCTTTGCCAGTGCCAGCTTTATGGTTGTCTAGTTCGTCTGTGAGTGAGTCCAGCTCAGGACAAGCAAACGTGAAGACAGACAGGTAGCTGCTGCAGGTTGGAGTGGAGGTCACCACAGGGGTACTCAGAGGCTCCAAATCATTGGAAACAGACTTATACAGGGTTTCCCAGTCCGACACCCCAAGAGAGCTGCTCAGATCTATGTCTGGCACCGACCGAGCTGTCTCCATTGGAGTTTTCTCCTCAAGACTGGGCAGCATATTGTCCAGGAGCCCCTCCTTAAGGTCCAGAGATGGTTCTAGATCGCATATGTTGATTTCTGCACTGGAGCACAGCAAAATATTTGAGTTCCCAGAGATGGCTGTGGATGGATCACTGGGTATGTCCATGTCCTGTAGTGAAGGAGCCTCCTGGACGCTATCCTCTGGAAGCCTGTCCTCGCCTGCGGTGGACAGAAGCTCTGGAGATTCTGTCGACTCCTGGAAAATAGATTCCATTTCCTCTGACATTTGGCACACTGGTTTATGTGTGGCAAGGATAAACTCAAGGCGTTCTTTTTCTTTGAGGAGGATGGCTATTTCTGTCTCCAGTGCTGCTTTTTCCTCCTCCAACTTGTCGGTCTCCTTTATATAAACAACATCCAGAATCATCCACATGGGAAACACACAGTAGGTGCAAACGACAACTGACTAAATGCATCACTGTTTACTTACAGCTTGCAGTGTGTCTGTCAGTTCTCGCCGTCTGTTGCGACACTTTGCTGCAGCCATTTTATTCCTCTCCCTCCGTATCCTCTTTTTCTCTTCCTCCTCTGGAGACAGCTGCCATGTAAAAGAATAAATTTGTTTACTTTAATTTAAATTATATGTTTCATACTGTGTCAATCCACAATTTAAAGAATGGCAAAAGCATGTTTTGCTGCAGTGCGTCTAAAAATAGACCATTGTTGCAGACTTGCTGTGACCTGAATACAAATTGCCTGCCTAAGAAAGGCACACAGCCAGCACACGGC